TCAGTCACCCTCACCGAAAGTATATTCAAAAAAATGTTAATCCCAACGTGTTATATTGCCAAAAAATTGAAAGAGATAGCAACCAAATTATCTTCGAAATTGCTTTTCTTTCTCTTTTTTATATGAGATTTTCAACTGGGTATTGTGTTATGTACTTCAGAAAAAATTTCACTACTTAGGTTGAGATAATCAAAACGTATACAAAGGGTACAAAAAAAGGTGGATGTGGATGCCAGATCTGAACATAATAGAATGATCTATGTGCAATGGAAAATACTATCACACAATTTCCATCAATCATCATTAAACAACAAAAATCCAACACCATAAGGCGGTGGCCAAAAATGGGTGGTGGCGGAGGGTGGTGGTTAGTGTGCGGCGATGGTACAAGAGAAATGTGATCGAAAGTTTTGTTGATGAATAAGGTCATTTTTTTCTTAAAATTAATACATATGCTTAATTATTACCATTTAAAAGTCTAATGGTGTTAATTGATTGAATTGGAACTACAGAGGGTGTATTCGATTAGGATTTTAGAAGACTTTTTGAGATAAAAAATCCTACAGATTCTAAAAGACATTTTAGAATTGAAGAGACTTTATAGACTTTTTTAAAAGACTTTTTTTACAATCAAGATTTCATAGGATTGGATTTTAAAGAATTTTAATAGAATTCATAAGATTTGAAAAGACAATATGGATTTATAAGATTTTAAAAAACTATATGAATTTTTAACAAATATTCAAAATTACAAGAGTCAATAAAAACAAATAACAAAGAAATGCAATGATATTAATAAAAAAAGTAAACTTAACAACGGGTTGAAAATTATCTCAAAAATTACTAAGCAACAACTCTCCACGTATCAATAAAATCTAATATAATTTTCTCAATGAATTTGAGTTTGATTTGCGAAAATAATAACCATATATCAACAGTTAACTTCCAAATTAAATATTAATTAATGAGTTTGATGTAAAACGAAAATTAATAAAATTACTACAACTTTTCACATATCTAATGGGTTGAAAATTATCTTCTTCATTTGATATCAAAGCTATGCATATATATTATAAGACCCAATTTTTTTTAATTATAAAAATAATTTTAAATTTGCATATAGAACCTAAAGTTCATGATAAAATTTCGTTTGGAATTTTTTGCAATTGATCTTCAAAATCTTGGGGTTTTTGTTTTACGCGATGAGAGTTTTCTAACCATATATCATATGCATATTTTCATTGAATATTCTAAGAAAATTTTGAATCTGAAATTTTAGGTTTAATTACATGAAAGTTTAGAAAATTTCTCAAATTTTTTCAATCGATACATTGAAACCTTAAATTGCTTGGGGCTTTTGAAAAACAAGTTTTTAGTTATCTATTGACACAAAAATTGTTTGAAATCGTTTCCTATAGTGAAAGAATTTCGTTCATGAATGTATTGTTACGAAATATAGGTTCACATTATGAAAATTTCAATCTTTCTTTAAATTGATATTGTTTCATTGATGTAAAACAAAAATTGGTTTGAGGGTTTTAATTCTCCTGTTATTTTTTTCACTATTTTATGTTGTTTTTAATACAAAAATCACACGTTTTGTTGCTAAGAAAAATCGTGACCCATAGCTTGAAAAATCACTTTTAAAACGTCCAAAATTTCTCAAAAATGGCTCAAAAATATGTTATTTTTGAGATAGATTATATTAAAATCTCGTTGGTTTGTTTTCTCTGGGTTGTTTTGTGTTAAAAATCGCTCAAAAATATTTGATGAAGCTCCCATGGCTGAACCCAATTTCGAGCAATCAACCTGCCAAAAGAAGAAGAAAACTCTGCAATAGAAGAATCTCAAGAAATCCTAGGGGTTAGGGTGAGATTGTGAGAGAGACATCGTATTTATATTTTTCACTAAAAAGTCTCACGGAATCCATACCAGTAAAAAATCCATTAAAATCGTCGGATTTTTGAATACCACGATATTGTGATTCCATTGTTTAAAATCCTGATTGAATACCAACGGATTCTAAAATAATCCTTTAAAATCCTAATCGAATACCATGTGACTTTTTTTCAATTCATTAAAATCCTAATCGAATACCAACGGATTTTTTTGTCCAAAAACAGTCCATTAAAATCCTTTGAAATCTCAATCCAATACACCTCCCTACAGGGCGATTTTTTGAATAAACACTTAACTAGGAGGTGGTTTTATATAATTTACCCAAAAATAATACAGTACAACCTTACAACTTATATTAAATACTCTAAAGAACTGAAACGTTTTATGAAAGATATTACATATTATTTGTGTGGTGAGTTTTTTTTTTTTCTAGATGATTATTTTATCTTAATTTTTTTTTTACTCTCTTAAACTTGCATGATAAGAATTAAATTTTAAATATATTTTTATGTCCACTATTTACCATTTATTATTTGCAAAAAATATATTTATTATTTAAAAAAATAATGTTAGGAAATTGGTTACTCCTGTCATTTCATAAAAATAAATAAATAAACCATTAAAAAGTCCAATTGGAGGGAAGCTTATTTTTCAAGATAATATTTTTAAAATCTATTGGGCCCAATAGAAAAATAAAGAGCCTATTCAAAAAGACTTAAAAGTGCTTTGTATTTTGAAAAAAAGAGAGTTATATATGTATAAAAGTTGACTTTTATTTATAGTCTGATATATAGGGGTGTAAATGGACTAAGTCGGCTTACAGGGGCCTACGGCCTTGCCTATTATAAATAGTAATATAGAATAGCCATATGCTTTTAAAAAAACTATTTAGAAAACAGGCCATAAGTTTTTTTTATATGTTGGGCCTATAAACCTTCAAGGTCGGCTCATATCATATTATTTATTTAAATAAAATTATTATTTTAATAATTTTGAATAATAAAGTAATATTATTTTAGTTTTCTTTTAATTGTTGAATGTTTAATAGGCTTAAACAGGCTAATAAGCCTAGCCGTAATTTGGGACCTACATAGGCTTACAGGCCAGGTCAGACCCAGTGTTTTTTACACAGGCTTGACCTATTTAAGCCAAAGCATAACCTAGCCTAACATATTTACACCCCTACTGATATACATAGTTGACTAGATGAAGTGTTGGGGAGATTTTTTTATATATATATATATAACTTGAAAGAATTGTCATTCAATCTTCGTTGGTCACCTTATTCTCAGAATACGACTCACAAGATTACCCCCTTATTAAAATAGCAGGTGCATCGAGTTTTGTGACTAAAAAAAAAGATGAGGCTAATCTACCAATAAAAACATAATACTAACATGTTTCTTGAAAAGAAAAAGAAATAACTCTAACATTATACTTATATTATTTCAAATGGGAGTACTACTCACTACTATAGGAGTACTAAAAACATTGTCTTGGGCGGGGATAATCTAATTAAAATAGTAAAATCTTAAAGCATGTATGCCCCCCTTGATATTTGTAGAGGTGGCGAAATGAATCAGCACGCCCGATCTGTATCAACCCGCCACCAACTTATTAAAAATGATCCCATTTATCTAACCTGTCTCCTTTTTTTTTTTGATTGGACGGGTCAACCCGTCTAGAAAATAAAATATTTAAAAATTAAAATTAAATTATATTTTATAAATTTTATAATATTACTTATTTTCATTTCACATTTTTTCATAATTTTTTTGCTGTTTCAAGCCTAAATGTATGCTAATATTCAGTCAAGCATTCTTTTAGAATTTATTTTTGCTTCCATATATGAATAAACTTTGACATAAATAAAAAAATTCTTTATTTTCTCCAGGGTAGTACTAAGATAAAAAATAAATAAATCATAAAAGCTTAATAACAAATAAAATATTATCCAATAGTAAAAAAAAAACTTAGCGGGACAACTCGACCCGCCCCTAACCTGTTTTGACCCGCAACCCAGCAGGACGAGTTGAGACGGGTTGATGGGTTGAGATGTGTAACTCAACTCGTCCCGTTTTGACGGGTTAACGGGTTGACCCATCGTGTTCAACCCATATTATCACCTCTATATATTTGTATATTTTATATCTATATATGTAACATTTTACCAAACAATTGTGATATGAATATTAAATTTCACCCATTCGGTAGTTGAATTAAAACTTTTATGAAAGGAAGTAATATAAATTTTTGTATAATTGAAAATTGAAAAAAAGAAGAAGCTATTAACCTACTTAATTTAATTTAGTTTTAACATATGACATAATTTTAAAATAAAGTAAATTTAACCATTAGATGAAACATTCATGAACATCATAGTTATCTTAAATTCAGTTTGCATTATTATCATAATAGTAGCAAAATGAAATTATTGAATTAATAGATTTTACATCCTACAAAAAGTCCTTCAACAAATAATCTACCCAAGGCATCGATTTGTCCTTATGTATTCGAGTATTGACAGAAAAGTCTTTGATTTCTTGAGGTCTTTTTGCATTATAAAACTTTCCATTTAATTTAACCTCCCGAAAAAGAAAAAGAAAAAAAGCGGAGAAAAAAAGTGGAGACCTTTGTAATGATTTGATTTTTACCTCACAATTTCAATGGCAGCATACATAAATCTTCCAAACCAATAATCATACAAACTGTAAACCACAAACGAAAAAAAAAAAAAAAAACTTGCAATCTCTATAAACTTCTTTCACCATGAATCCAAGATTTTGGAAGTGAAAAAAGAAAGAAGAAAATAAAAAAATCCCCAAGACTAAGGTTGTATCAAACGAGGAGAATAAGTTATAGGAGGCAAGGCATCCTCTAGACAGGAATTAATATTGGTCACAATGGCAGGAATCCCCTCTCGTCATTGTAAACCAAAAAATCCTGCAGTTATGTACCTTGCCAAAATAACTAATAAAAAAACCAAGAAAAATGCTAAATGTTACCAAACTAGTGTTCCAAATAAGATCACCGAAGAACTAGACAATCCATCAGTCACTTCTAAGTTCTAACCAAACGGTGTAGAGAATTGTGTCCATTCATCAAGTCGTGGCTTTAACTAGAGGTGATATAGGAATAGGGGAGTGAGGTGACATCAAGAAATCATCCAGCCTTCTGAATGAGGAGCTTAGCCTTAAGTTTCTGTGGTTACAAGGTTTCTTGGCAGCCATGTTTTGACTCACAAATGCGCGCATTCTTGTCAAAGAAACTTCCACAGCCTTATCATCCATGTTTGCATAGCATACCCTGAACCACCCTGGCTCGGAACAATGAAAAGAAGAACCAGGGGAAATATTGATCTTCACTTGATGAATGATAACTTTCCAGAGTTCCATTTCTGCTTCAAATGTTGGTTTCTTGAGAAGACTACGCAAATTCATCCATAGAAAGAGACCAGCATTGCTCTGCAAGCACTTTATGCCAACTTGGGCAAGACCCCTAATGAAAACTCCATACCTTTTGGCAAGCCTCTTAGCACTCTCTGCAAGGAACCGTTCCACAAACTCATCATCCAACAACATTGATGCCATAAGATATTGGGTCTGTGTGGACACTAATCCAAAGCTGGACATTTTTCGAGCACAATTGACCACTGCATCATTGTAAGAATATATGATGCCAACTCTGAAGCCAGGGAACCCCATATCCTTTGAAAGACTATAAACAATGTGAATCAGGTCACGGTTACATTCAATGTCAGTGTCTTCCTCTATTATCTCAGCGATGCTCGTGAAACCGGGATGGCAAAAAACTGTGGCAGCATATATTTCATCGCATACTAGATGAATATGCTTTTCATTAATAAAACTCATCACTGTTCTTAATGTCTCTCTATCCATGATAGTTCCCAATGGATTTGATGGATTGGTAATAAGCAAGCCCTTTACTCTGATGTTATCCTCTTTGGCTTTCTCAAACGCAACTTCCAATGCTTCCCTTGTCAATTTGAAGTAATTAGAGCTTTCACAGATAACTGGAAGAAGTTGAACTCCTGTTCTCCACCTCAAATCCCTATCAAAACTGCATTAGGAAAACCAAATTGCTTCATTAGAATGTAATTAAGATCTTGATGTCGATCAAATAATATGGCATATATGATATCATACGGCAAACTCATATTTGCTTGTTTTGTCTCTAGTTATATAAGAAGAAAATGGCTGTGACAATCAACAGAAAAGGACATTAGGTAAGTGAAACGATGGTGTTGGTGTTGACTTACAAGGCGTGAGGTTGAGCAATTGTTGATACTTAGTTGTGGTCTAATTAAGTTTTTGACCTTGTAATCTTATAGAGAGCATTAATTAAAACCCACTACCCTTAGCCTAGTCAAACGACTTGAATGTTACACAGGAAATCAACTGGGTAGAATTCAATTTTTTTCTCTCCCCATAAGTACATTGCAATTTGCAAACGTAATTTTCTCTTAAATTAATGTTCGCCCTCCAACAAAAATTAATATAATTAAAAGGAAAAAAATCACAAAGTGTATAAAAGTTTTATAATGAAAGTTATGGAAATTGAATTGAATGTCTTACCCTGCATAATAAGGAGTAGGGACCATAAATGCATCACCGGGGTCTGCCAAACAAAAGGCGGTGACCTCGTGTGCTCCGGTTGCTCCACCACTCATAACAACACGATCAGGATCAAACGTGACTCTGTTTCCTCTCGTTCTTGACATGAATTTAGCCACAGCCTGTGAAAGTTCAATTCAAGTTATGTTAATTAGTTCATCATTATCAACCAAACCAAACCAAACTCAACTTAATTGTTTGATTTCATAAATTGTCACTCACTTGTCTGAACTCCGGAAGACCATGATAATCCTGAAAGTTAGCTATGGCCTTGAAATCACGCGCTCCTTCTGGAGTGCAAATTGAAGCCTCAGGATTACTCATTATCCAATGTTGAACCAAGTCAGAAGTAAGCTGCAAATAATAGAACCAATAAGAAAAAAAAAATGAGTATACATTGATGGGGCTTTTGTGAGAATTCAAAGAAGCTTTAGGTGGGAGTAATATACCTGATTTTCTGCAAGACCCATTTGGATAACACCATTAGGATTCTTGGTGGGATGAAAGGGATCATCTTCATAAGCCTTCCAGCCATCAAAGTATGGGGAATTTTCACCATGTCCATCACCCGTGGCTATCTTAGACAGTAATTGGGGTTGGTCCATTGTCATAAGCTCCATATGGTCTATGTTTATTCTCCTTGCAAATTAGTTTAGACTTTTGTGTGGTTGGAAAAGTTTGCTCTTTTTGCTTGTGCTTATAAATTACAATGTCTAGCTCTGAATGAAATACAACTCACAGAGTTGCTTATATATATATATATATAGCATGTTCCACACACATTAAAAATGATTTTCAGAGGCGTGAATCTCTGTGGTTCAAATTTAGAATGAAGCTTCCCACGAAGGAGACTCTTACCATAAGACATATACATCTTCAAATAAACTCTTGCGTGTTCCATATTAAGAAAATCTTTTCCGTATTATTAAATAAGTGTTGGAATTCTTATAGAATTCAAATTTTATGAATAAGAAGTTGGATGTGAAGAGATGTGTCTGTTCGGTCGAAATAGGAATCATTCGTCGTGACAGGTCATAGTTTATAAATATGGAAGGAAATGAAGAAAAAAAAATGACTTTTCTGATTTCTCTCTTGTACTGAAACTCTATAAAATATTTTTTTTGAAATCTTTTGCATTCATTCTGTGAGATTGATCAGTGTTTGTTGTGTCTGCCGGTGCTGCTGTTTCTTCTGGTAGTGTCATAGTTAAAACAGAAGTAATTCGTTCTATACTGGGAGACATTTGTTCACAAACCTTAAGCTCCGATGAGGGGCAAAATTGTCTTAAGAACACTATTTAATACTGGATTCAGGTTTGATTTTTTGCAACTTTCATGCCTTGCCCATTACATCTTTAATTTTCTATAGTTGCGTGCAATTTTGTACTTTACTGATATCACCATGATCAAATAACACAATTTTTGCAGTATCAACAATAACGATGAGTGACATGTTACCTTTAAAATTACCTAAGAATTTCTCTAAATATGAGTTTGAAAATTAGGTAAGATTTGGTGGGCAGTCAGAATGTCAATAAATTAAGAGTGGTCATATTATGGTGCCACTTGCAGTTTCATTTGGCAGGGTTACAGAATAACAATAGCCTCTGTTCTCTTTGATGTTTGGGGAGAGACTTTTCAGTATATAAGGTTTTTCTCTGCTACTCGGCACATAGGCAGATTATGTGCGAATGTAGAGTGCTCTATTTCAGTGATCAGTGATCATCCTTTGCAAGGGAATTAAGGTGACTAAAAACTGGTTAAGGGAATTGAATGAAAATAAACAAAGATAAAACACATTTTATTATGGAACATTTCAAATACAATTTCAACAAAAAAAGCCAGTAGATTTTTAAAATTACTTGGAATACCTAATTAATTTTGGAACGCCTAAACTTCTAATATTTTTAATTAATTTTAATTTTTTTTATATTAATCCACTCTTATATAATAAAATAAAATTATCATTTTTGAGAGTGAAATATTCTCTCTAAGGGTGTTAACGGGCCAAACCGAGCCGAGCTTTGGTCTTAAAAGGTTAAACTTGTGTTTAAATGTGTCAGCCTAACTAAGCTTGTTACTTGTTATGAATATAATTATCGGCATATGGCCTGACTTATTTACCAAAAATAAAAGTCTGGTTTAACCTGTTTAAAAAAAATATGACAACAAAAAAATTTATCCAAACAAAATATACAATCAACAACATTAGTAATTTCATAAATTCAATATATATCCAAATAGCATAATATAGAACAAAATCATTCAAAAAGTCTGTTAAATCAATAAAATGGGGTGAAATAAATTGATGAGAGAGAAAGTTATTACAAGTAGTATAAAAAATATAAAATAAATATTCATATACTAGGCCAGCCTTAGAGACATGTAAGCTCAGGCCTTCACGAGCCGAGCCAAAGGCCCCTGGTTCTCTTAGCATCCCTAATTCAGTCGTTATACTTTCTTATTCCTTAAGATATGTTGCTTTATTATTGTTAATTTTTTATTTTTTCATTTTTTTGGTTAGTTTTAAAGAGCGAAATTCTACTGACCAAAATTTGAGACAAACTATGAGTTATAACTTCAACCCCCGAATTAGAGAAAGTAAGAATCAATAATTTAATGAACTGCAATTCAAACTACCAAAAGGATCCCGCGTCCTTGGTGAAGATGTCTGTTACAGAGTTACCATTAAAAAAAAAGAAGTGACATTCCATTTATTTTCGTGTTTATGTTCTAAACTTTGATAGTTTGTATTAAGTTATAATTTCTTATAAAAAAAATATTTTAAAGTAAATCGTCTAAAAAAAATAACGCAAGAATATATTTATTTTTAAGTCATTTTTTTTTATTTTTTAAGTCATTTAATAGTGAAGATTTAGATGCACTTTGATTTAAATTAAAATACAAATATTCATTACTTATTCATTTTAAAAACAAATTCACTTTTAACATTTGAAAACTTAAATGTATCGTGAGTCTAAGAACCTAAGTACATTATTATTCTTAAAAAAATATAATATTATATTGCGAGCAAGTTGTTGTAAGATATAAAACTTGAGTCTAATATTGAAAACATAAGGTTCAGACGTGAAATTTATATGAATTTTGGACTTTCTAACTTTATACTTATAGTTTATCTTTTGGAATAAGATTCTCCCAAAATTCTTATTAATTGGTATCAAAGCTTCTACCGTATCCTCAATTACAATCTAAAATATGGAATTTATATAGATATTAGCTCTCCTACTTATAAGTTAGTTTTAGGGGTGAAATTCTTTCAAAGTTTGTATTATATTTTTTTTTGATAACAATATTACTTTCCTTTTACATGAGGTAACTTATCTCATTTTCTCTTATTTCGATTTTCGCATCTCACTTTTTTCTTCTTTTTTCTTTTTTCTTGTAATGGTGGGACCCACCCATTTTCTCTCTACCACATAAGATAACTATCTTATGTGGAAGGAGATTAATAAAACTCTTATATTATTTGTTAGTAATTTTTTATTTTTTAAAAAAAAAACTGGAAATAACTAAACTGGCTACATTTATGCAGTATTGTCATATCAAGTCTATGACTCTCATGAACTTCAAAGTTCAAACAATTGGACCAAAATTAATCTCCAAGCATAAATAGACATGACTATCATAGAATGATCCCCTGGGTTTATTTTAAAAGGGTTCATCTTTCGCGTTGATCCATCTAGAATCAATATTGGCAACAGTAGTTTTAGCAATCCAGAACGAAAATTTAACTTCAACACTTACTTTTAATATTTTTAATTCGTTGCAGAATTTTATTGCATTTATTTTAGGGTAATACTATTCTCCTGTTGAGAGAAAAATTCGGAAGAGTGAAAAGAGAATGAGACGAGAGAAAAATTTACCATGAGATTCACCTATGAAATGTTTTTGCAGGAAGGTAATGGCAAAAAAATTTAAATGTTATTTTTTTAATAAAAAATTACAAAAATGTAATCGTCTTGAATGTATTTATAAAATGTATAGCATTCAAACATGTCCTACTGGGACATAATTTGACGGAGAGAGACACGCTCCACAAGGGCGTATTTTAGGAGAGAGAGACGATCCACGGGTGCGTGTTTCAGTAGATGCTGGCACATAACACAAAAAAGTCAATAGTTTATTCATAAAATTTTGGAAGTCCATAACTTTTGATTCTGGTATCCGAATTAGTTAAAAAAAATTGATTTCACACAACTTTTCGAGATCTACTCAATGACACCTCATTTGACATATTTTATCTCTCACAAAAAAAGTTAAAATTTACAATAAATGATACTAGAAGAACAATGATCTTTACTAGGAATGTTTTAATCATGATACCAAAACAATGGTAACATAAACGTTCTTATAATATTATTATTGTAAATTCAAACTTTTTTTGTGAGATATAAAATATGTCAATTGAGGTGTCATTACATAAATCTCGAAAAGTTGTGTGGAATCAAATTTTTTTTTACTTAATTCGAATACTTGAGTCTAAAATTATGGATTTTCAAAGTTTTACAGGTAAAATGTTAATTTTTTGTGCCACGTATTTGCATCTGGTAAAACACATCCCGTGAGGCGTGTCTCTCTCCTTAAGATTATGTCCATGTGGGACGTATTTGAGTGCTATATATTTGTAAATACATTTAAAATGATTACATTTATGTAATTTTTTGGCGGAAGGTAATATTATTTTCCTGTAAGGTGAGAATACTATTACCCTTTATTTTAATCCGATCACGAATAGTTCCGTTCGTTGTTTCTGGTCGAAAATGCAAAGTCACGTTAGCTGACCACGTATAATCTAACGTGAAAATTGAGATTTTCATGAATAGAAAATATCACGAGGTATTCATTTTCACCACGTGGATGGCCGAGAGAATGAATGAATATGCGAGTGATGGATAAGAATTATGTAATTCAAAGAGTAAACTACCTAATGACTCAGCTCAGTTGTTCGTTTTTTGGTAATGAGTTAGTGGGATTGGATATGTATTCGATTTCTACTAAATGCATTCTTGAGGAGAGGGCCCATCACTGACTCCCGTAAATTAGTCTCATAGCCGGTTCAAAGAGTCGAAGCTTGTGGAGATATCAGAGAGAGTCAACTTACCTCAAAGAGGCAATTAGAGTAGGGTAACTCCAAAAAAAAAAAAAAAAGTAAACTAATCGTCAAAAATTCAGAATAAAATTTCTCAAAGAGGTAATTAGGGTTGAGTAACTCCAAAAAAAAAAAAAGAGTAAACTAATCGTAAAAAATTCATAATAAATTTTTTAAAAGCTTGGAATTTATTATGTACAGATCATTCGACATCTCAAATTACAAAGTTTGATACTAAATTTCAAAGGGAGAATTTAATGGTTATAATTTATTGGACCACACTTATTATTAATTATTAATTGTCAATAAATTATAATCATTATATTGATGAAATCAACTGTTAAAATTTGCTATTAAACTTTGGGAGAGGTTATACTTACTACTTCTTTTTCTTATTACCTCTTACTATCAAATCTTAATCGTTGACTTCCACCAATCTAACAGTTATAATTTATTAGAAATTAATAATTAATTAATAAATATGACCCAATAATTAATAACCGTTAGATTGACAGAAATCAACGGTTAAGATTTAGTAGTAAGAGATGGTAAGAAAAAGAGATAATAACTATAACCTCCCTTTAAACTTTTTAGTTAGATATCGATATCAAACTAAAAAAGTTTGATACCAAATCTTAACAATTGATTTCAGAAATTTAGTAATTATAATTTATTGGATCATACTTATTTATTAATTATGAAATCCCAATAAATTATAACCGTTAGATTGACGAAAATCAACGGTTAAGGTATGGTGTCAAACTTTTTATTTTGATCCCAAACCTTAACCGTTGATTTTGAGAATTTAGTGGTTATAATTTATTGGGTCACACTTATTAATTAATTATTAATTCTCAATAAATTATTTATATATCTATACTTTATTAAATTAAAATTTCTAATTCAATAATAATTATTTCACTTTTTTTTCTTATGTAAACACGCTTTTAAAAAAGGAGATTGATCCACTTACCACTAAAATTTTTCAAGCAGTGCTTATTACAAAAAAAAAAAAAAAAAAAAAAAAAATTCAAGCAGTGTTGATTTTTTTCAATCTAACAGTTATAATTTATTGAAAGTTATTAATATTTTGGTGGTAAGTATATCTCTTCCTTTAAATAATATTTTTGCAAGATTGTGAACGAGTTTTTCTAGTCAAGGCTTCAATAATTGTGTTTGGATTGGGTTTTACTACCTCAATGTTTTTCCAATAACTTTCCAAATGCACCGGCCGGCTCCGTTCGGTAATCTTCCATTATATTTGAAAACGAAAGTTGAAACCAAGGACTGGAAGAGAGTTTTGGTCAAAAAATATTGGGCTGAATTTTGCTCGTCTACGCGAAAGTTTTGGGGAGATAATTTTCAGTCTGAAACAATGACGACCATCACGCCTACCACACATATAATCTGCTGTTAGATAATGTTGCTTCCCCAAAAAAAAAAAAAAGAAGAAGAAGAATTAATTGTTTTTTTTGTTCAAAATATTTATAATTTGTTATGCTTGTGTTTTATAATACAACTATTATTCCATGACAACCAAAAAATAGTATGCCTGCTAACTAAAAATTTTGTTCAATTTTGTCATATACTTATCATTTAGATCAAGTTGACCGATTATCACATTTCTTGTGATTGACAATTTAAGAAAAACAAAATAACAAAATAAATAAATGAGGAGCAATTCGTAAACGAAAGGAATCAAAAGCAAAATATTACATATACAGTCATGTTGTCGTAGAATATGAGAGAAAGAAAAACAATACACATGATTTACCTTAATTAATCCCAACTTAAGGCTATATCCACCAAATATGTCATTATGTTCTCCTCACCGCACTCATTTAAATACACTCAATTACAAGAAAATATAAAAAGACTCCAAAAATCTTAAACTATAATTGTTGGTAATAGGCCCAAACCCTAACTATTAAATAATAGATATTATAGAAAAATTCAATCACCACGCAGTACCATATCTTTACCAGCACGGGAGCACTACCTCCTGCATCTCATCTGTTGCTCACAAGGGAGCAAGACCCCCTCTGGTTTTATTAACATAAGGGAACATGAATTGTTGACTAAATGCAAAATACGAGCCATAATCAACACATACATTCACTTGGAAGGGGTGATAGAGTTGTCACTAGCCCACCCCATTAGCCTCTAGCTCGCACGGGATAGGGACAAAAAATCTCACAGGGCCAATTAACCCACAATAATAATGGCATACATTAGCCAAAAGTCATATGGATTAGAACTAGCCTACAAAACAAACCATCCAAATCTAGTATTACACAATAATCTTAATATTATTATTGAATAATTGTTCTTAGTATATTATATATTAGAAAGTTATACCATCAATATTTTTGCAACTGCTACCGTTATAAAAACATAAATTAGAAGAGGATGATATATTAATATCTAAAAAATACATGCAGAACTTTTTGTTAGAAGGTATAACTTTAAAATTTAAAATAAAAAACAAATAATAACATGTCTGAAGCAAGGAAAAAAACCGTAGACAACAACTAAGAATGTAAACCGGGGCTGAAGGACCTAACTAAGGTACTACTGTCCTCCATGAGATGAGGGGATCAAAAACGAAGGATCAGATAAGAAACAAACTCATCGTCTGCTGTCAAGGCTAACTGGACTAGCCTATGAGCACGAAACACATGGTTAAGACTTATGTTACAATCCTTCCTAAGCCAAACTCTGTGACGGTTGATGATGTGCGAGTCGAGTCGTGCGCCTGCTAAGCTGTGGAAGAGAGCTGATTGATGATGACTGCAATGTCATTTTCAAGTATTGTCTCGTCTCTCCTAGCTCTCCAAGTTGTTCCTCAAGATCCAGGTCTTCTCATCTAAGGAGAAGAATTCTAATCTCTTTGCTGGCGGAATAAAGTTCACCCACAAATCCTTGGCTATATTACAGTCTCTCAGTACGTGAGCTTGTGTCTCAGCCTCCTTCCTACAGTTTCCACAGAGTGGATCATCTTGAGACCACCTAAATGTACGACCGTTAATACCATGTACTTTTCTTCTCTCCGCCCATACCGTTAATACCGGAACGAGAAGTTCTGAATAAGGGGATCCTTTAAAAAATAGCATCTTATAATAACACTTATTTAGTCATATTTCTCCTACAAAGAAGTGTTGATTTTAGGGGACCAGCACCCATGCTAATCCCCTCCTTCCGCCGGTGCATACCGTCAATCTACCTAAATTGATTAGCAAAGGTTGGCAACACTTTTCGTAAAAACTAATTCCAGCTAAACAACTCTACTACATTAAAAAGTCATTATCATAACTTTAATTACAAATTCTACCCAAAACTTCCCTCGACCTTAAACCTCCTAAATTACCCTTATTTATAACATTCATTATATTGTTGTCAAACTCATTTACAAGCCTATTTTTTTGGAAATGAATATTAGAAAGTTAACCAAATCTCTAAGGACAAGTCATTAAGAGAAATAGATCTTAAGATACAGCTGTCAAAATTTGAACTCATAAATCTACATAACTATGAAAGTGTTACTGTGCCAGGGTGAAAATGGGGCTCCATTAGTGAAGAATGAACAACAGCTATATATCTTCAAATGTGACAGTCTTCAAAATTTGTTGTTCCATTTTCGCCCCTTCCCAATGCAATCCAATAGCCTATAGGCATAAAATTATTTTCTTGAGAGACAATTCTAGTATGCCAAATGGAATCAATTCCACCCCAAAAAGGGTGAGATCGCCCGAACAAGGACAAAACAACACAAATCAAGACCGTTGATAATCACATTTCAACTAAAATAAATCTGCTTTTAAAACGAAAAATAAATATTTATCAACCTTAAATTTTAGACCAATTTTCGTTTCTGACTTAAATAAATATTTCTGCCGTTCAAACCTACACAGGGGTCCCCTAAATACCAAAAAACTAAAAGATAGGAACCAAATTCTTAGCAAGTTGTGAGGTAAGCGTTAAACCAATAACTAGCAGCCCGAGTGAGCTATAAGATCCGTATAAGCATTAAACAGTACACTAGAAGCTAATAAAGCATAATTTATAAAATTTACAGTAATTTTTACAAATTATAATTCTTTCATGTCCTTCATGATATTTCCAGCTTCTCACCTCATTTCTTCATTAGAAGAACCACTGTGTGAGCCGCTATACTTCTATTTTCTCCAAGGCTGTCTACCTTTTCATGAGTTTTTGCTTTGATATTTACAACAGAAGAGTCAACTCCAAGCAGTGCAGCTAAATTGGCCTTGATAGCATCCTTGTGTGGACTTAGCTTTGGCCTCTGAAGTATCAACGTAGCATCTAAATTTCCAATATCATAACCTGCGTCATGCATAAGCCTCACCTGCAAAATAACACAACACAGATTAGAAAATACCCGATAAAATATCTGGGAGTAGTACATACTTATCTTCAATCATATTCATAGGAAAAAAAACTTTCAAACACCAAATATGATTTCCCTCGTACAGCCATCACGCAGCAAATGCAAATGCAAATTGAAGCAAATGGCATTTAACAACTGCTAAAACAAATAGTAAATGCAGAGTTGAAAATTGAGTAGCTCTTCAAAAGAGGAATCACTGTTAGACGGCAATATATTTACATATTTAATAACTAGCACATTTTTGGTTGGACAAGAGACATTATTATTTACCCTCATATACACTTGAATAGGAATTTGGTCCTGATTAAGCACGATCCGTTCATGTAACTAACATCAAAAAGCTAATTCTTTCTGAGTTCAATTTCCTCGAGCATAATCTCTACTCTTCGGTTTATCTCTTTTGCTGAATGATATTGACATATTAACAAACTGAAGTTGAAGATCGGTTGATAAAGTATGTCATCTCAAATTCAAAGAACTATCTACTGATCTCTCTGAGTTGACCAAAGAAGCTACCCAAAGATGGCACAACATGCTTAAATTTTAGCAACCATTTGAGTTATAACTCTGCAAACTAATTTGAAGGGTATGCAGTATCCATGAATTATCCATTGAAAATTTGAAATGGGATTACTACTTGTGAATGAAAAGACAGATAATTCTAGTAAACAATTGATGGCCTTTAAATTTATTCCCAGTACAAGGAATTAAGGATTAAATCAAAATCATAATATTTTAAAAAAAAATGGAGACACTAATGCCTAAAACTAGTATCAGATTTCAAAGGAGAAAATAAAGAAGACAGCAAGCTATGTTCGTGGGATATTACTCACAGATTCTTGGATGAACACCGAAGAGGCACAACCCTTCCACTTAGGATCTGAATCCGGAAATATCTGCCCTATATCAGGAAGACCTAAAGCCCCCAAAATTGCATCCACCACGCAGTGAAGCAGAACATCCCCTGTACCCAACAACCAACATAGCCCATCATCCTCATACTCTTGAAAAAATGAAAATTAACAAAAAAAATGGAATTTTAAAATTTGAAATATTAAAAATCAAAAGGGGGAATACAATTGAATTACCATCGGAATGAGCCTCGCAACCCCTATCGTGGGGTATGTTAATTCCACCAATGATTAAGGGGTAACCGGGTTCTAACCGGTGGAGGTCAAAACCGTGCCCGACCCGAAAGGGAAGAGCCTTGGAAGGAGTGGCGGAGACTGGAGATTCGTCGATTTGGATGGAGGTGGTTGGAGTTGCAGCTGCTGAGGCTGAGACAGTTGAAGATGGTCGGAGATGGAGGTTCGGAAGGAGGGTATGATGTTTGAGAGGAAAAGAACAAGAGAAGGAAAATAGATGAGAGGGTTTAGTGGTTATTGTGAATGGGAAGGGGATAGAAGTTGCTGTAAAGGAAGATGCCGCCATAGCCGTTGACGTTGAGGACGCTGTGCTATGAAATGGTGACCAACAACTTCAGTCACGACACATGGTTATTTGAGCGGCACAGAACGGCATATTCTGTAGTGAGACCAGAGGAGACAAGTGATTGGCAGCGACAAATGGATGCTGAGATTCACACATTAGAAATTTCCAAAAAATAAAATAAAACAAAAGAAAGAAAGAAAATTAATGCTTTGTATTTTCAGCTTTTGTATAAAAAAAATTTATTTTTGCTACAGAATTTTTTTTCTTTTTCTCATTTATTTTTATACGAGTCTGAGAAAAATATTTTTTTTTTTACAATAGAAACAAAAAATTAATCCTTTTAAGTATTTTATGTTATTATCTGACTTCGATATCAAATTACTATGACTAAATTATCTTTCATTTAGCTTACATTCTGCTTCTCTATATTTACTTATTTAGTTCTGTCACACCTTTTGATTAAAAAAATGGCTTTTAAACATGCATGGTAAGATAACATCATGTAAAATTATCAAAATAGAAAGAAGAAAAAATGTACTACATTTTTTTTTGTAAATATATGTTAATTAGACCCAAAATATAATCATTTTTTTTCGCAAACATCAAGTTAGCATCAAAATTTTCTCCTCCCCACACTCGCTAATCGGACTGAACGAGAAATAATTTTTTATTAAGTTAACATCAAAGTAAATTTTGAGAGTCAAAAATGCATGCCGAATGTAAATTATATGCTTTTTTTTTTTGTAACAAGTATATGCTTTTTATTTACAGAGTAAATTGCGCTAATATATTTCGTAAAATTTGAAAAATTCATAGGAACACTCTATCTAATTTTGAATTGAGGAATTTAACTATTTGGAAGCTCGAATAAATACAAAAAAAATTCTAAGAATAACCTTTTTCCTAATTACTTTCTTTGTTTTTTTTTTTAAAAAAAAATCATATGCATTTTGTTTTCCTTTACATCACTTATCTCATATATTTTTTAAGGGAAATATAAAAATAATGTTATAGGAAACTTGATAAGTCATGTTATAAAGACATTGATTACTATGCTAAATTTGTAAATGCAGGATAAAAACTTAATTCCTCTAACATGACAAATGCTATCCCTTTTTTTAATCGCTTACATCCATCATAATATTTTCCATCCAAGTTATTTTTAAGGAAAAAACGTGTATCATTTTAAAGGATGTAAAGTTGTGTCATTTTAAGTAAGAGTAAAAGATAGATAAAGGAGAAGAAAGAGAGAGTAGACAAAAAAATATAAAAGTGTAGGTTCCATCTCTTCATGAGATTGAAAGGATATAAATTGTATCATTTAAAAAAATAAACATTTTTTCCTATTTTTAATACCGTTAAAGATTTAGTTAATCCGACTATTTTGTCCGCTTTTGGAAAACCTACTTTGGAGTTGCTTTCTGAATCCTCTTCTTGACCAAACATTTAAAACGTTGATATCATTGCATTGTAACGATACAGGCGTTTTTTTTTTTTTTTTTCAGAAATTTCAATTTTCAGAAATATGATGAAAATATTTCATTTACGATAATATTTAAAAATTAAAAATTTAGAAAAACTCAGTTTCTCGAGAATTTTACAAAATATCTTGTATCAAACGCCTTTAGTATTTCTGATACATGGAGACACATTTGTTTAGAAAACATACGTGTTGGATATCGATACGCATATGACATATAGTTAATATTTTTTGATACACGATCAACTCTAAATTTTTTATTTTTTTTTTAAATATTCCAAATTTTTTTATTTTATCTTTTTAATAAAACATAAAAAATTAATTTATAAATCAAATATTTTTTTATATGAAATTTAACACGAAAAATTAATAAGGCATAAAAATTATTTTTGCTTTATTATGAGCTATTATATGTACTAGATGTAACATGTTAAATAGAAATAAACGTGTTCTAACATATTAAAATTTAATATTTTTTAAAATTACGTGTCGATATGTTGATATTATGTCCTATCATATCTCATATTCTGTGTCCTTGCAACATAGCTCAACATTATCCATATTGTGGGGTTTAAACATGAATAGACCTTGCATTCTAGCTAAGATGAAAATTAAGACCTGCTTTGTATAGAAATAAAAAGAAAAAAAAATAGAAAAAAAAAAAAATAGAAAAAAATTTGAGAAAGCGTTATAGCGATTGTTCTTATATTTGCTTAACAGAAGATTGCATTAACCAGTGGTAAAGCGAGGGAGGGAGGGGGTTAGCAGGCACATTCGTTTCCCTTTAAATTTATATAAACATCTAAAAGTTCATATTATTTATAATTTTTTTGTTATATATCTAATGCCTATCCCTTTCAAAATCTATAGAAATATTTAATTGTTAGCATTATTATTTTTTTGTCATAAATAATTATAATTTTAAAGAAAAAATTTACATTATAATTTTGCCCTCTAAAAAATTCTCAGGCTCCGCCATTGACATTAGCTGCAAACCAACAACATTTGTAAAATTAACAATTTCTATACCACAATCTTTTCCGTCAGTTGGTTACACTTTTCAACGGTAGAACTAAGATACATCTTGATTCTCATCAGGGATAGTTCTTACTGTACCTAGACAGTTGCCATCTAATGGTAATCTTCCAAGTTCTCACATCCAAACAATGTTGATTTTGTAGAAATTTAGGAAAGGAATTTTGAAACGTTTTTCTGATAAACCTAGTCTCGCTGGTATCCTTCATCATCCTGCTAAAGATGACTGAGAAAACAACTTCAAAGTGGTTTCTTTAAGGGGGCAAAAGGGTCGGGTGAGGAAAATCTATATTAGTGTTAAAATTGAACTTGTAGTTTTTTTCATCATCCTGCTAAAGATGACTGAGAAAACAACTTCAAAGTGGTTTCTTTAAGGGGGCAAAAGGGTCGGGTGAGGAAAATCTATATTAGTGTTAAAATTGAACTTGGAGCGAAAAAACTACAAGCGAGACAAGTGATTAAAAAAAAATCACAAGAGTGTAAATGATTCTAAGGAAAACCGCTTCCCTTTTCTATTTTATGGCTTTAAACATAGTATTGAGTATTCGTCATACATAATCGGACTGTACTATTTTTTTAGCAATGTACTTCCCCAAATAATCGTATCCATGAAAATATAGGGCCTCGATTTCAGCTCTCCTTCCGCTCTGAACCATTAAGGCGAGCTCTTCCTTGTAAGTCTCCTGTTAAACAACATTTAGCTAATTGAAAACACCCTTCAGTTGAAGAGAATCTTTTGAAAGCTTTAGGGATGGGAGATGCTTGGTGCACATTACAGAAAAGTTCACCAATGCCCTTGTGATTTGCTTCAGAATTATTTATGTTCCTGTAGTTTTTTTTCTATCACATATGCTCCTGTGGTTTGCAAAAGGGTATATTTTTTATCACATATGCCCCTGTGGTTTTTTATTTTTTACAAAGCACAGGGGCATATGTGATAAAAAATAATTACAGGAACATAGGTGATTCTGAAGCAAACCACACCACGTGGCCATCGGTGAACTTTTTCCTACATTTTAATAACAATTCTTATAGATTAGTTCTTATGCAGTACCTATATACATATACAATTCTGACACAAGATAGGCATCTAAGAATGTAGGACTCGTGGAATCCTACCAAAAGGTACAAATTACAATCGGTATCTATGCCAAAATTTCTCGTACAAAAATTTAAGCAGCACAAAAATTAGGTAAGTGAAAGTGATGAGAAAAAAATCACTATACATGACTCCAGGGTAGGCAAGTAAGAGTAGGGGCAATATTCAGAGGTTCTGGGTAATTTACCTCCAAGATTCCCGAGGACATCAAGCTTTGAGCAATTTGCAGATCTTTTGGCTTCAATGGAACGAGAGATTGGTCTGGCAGCAAGGGTAGATCATGCCCCCGCAGTCCTAACCACTTGACGTTGCAGGCTAGATAGTGCAAAATAAAAACATTACATTACATTCCAACATATTAGAGCTTGTATGCTTTGTGTTATAATGAGATTATAACACTACCGTATTTATATGCCTCTAGGCCCATTCCTACACTTCCAAATTTGAAGGTGCATAGAATCGCTAATCCAGCTGGATTCCTTTAAATGTGGGCAAGGAGATACAAATTAGCAATAACATTTTTTTAAAGGTTACAGACAAAAGTTGTATTTCTGAACTAAGGCAAGGAATCGTACCAATCCACCAACGCTAAAATTGGCAAGTCTGGCAAAGCTCGACTGATTCGATGAAGAAGAAATCTGCATTTAAACTTCAGAATTTCAGACATTAAAGCACTTATATCAGTAGATCAGAACTACCATATATGATATGGTAGTGTCAAGTATGAAGTTATTAAGTTCTCTATCCTGCTAACAGTACCTTGTGGCCATATCAGGGTAACCTTTAGCCGTGATAAGAATGCTTGGAATTTGATGAAAAAACCGATCCTCAGTAAGCCTCTGAAATATTGCATGCTAAACAGAACCAATTATTTTTGTATTAAAACGCATATTTCTTCCTTTGGGAAAATATGGAACTTTTCAAAGCAACATGATGTAATTGGTCATTGAAATTAGGAATTTGATTAAACCAAATTTCCTTTAACAAACTCACCTTTTCCACAATTATAACGTACCGTGCGTCTGCATTTAGAATCAAGTTTCCTAACAAATTCAAGTCACCAGAAATTGCTTGTCCAGAAGACCCACATACAGAGCAATCGACAACCTCTTTGCCAGGTTCCTGTGCATGAAAAATTGGAAACTAGAAGTGAGTAATGTTTTTGATTGCAGCATTTCATCAAACAGTACTACATAACATTTCACTACTCCATATACAATACCCTAAGCATCTGTCTAATATCCCAGAAATATTAAGGGTTCATAAAATACCTGCAAAATCAGGCGGCCAGCTATGAGTCCTCGACTAGATGCCATAATTCCAAGACTGTATCTGCTGCACCGAAGCAATGCTACAAGCTCTGTTTGGCGCAGATTGATCTTCTCATTTAAAACACCAAGACATCAAACTTGAAGCAAACAAGACAGTGATAATAACCTTGGATTGTCCTGTTGACAACTGTTTGAGAAGGAAACAGATGTGGCGAATCACACAGCAGCTTGTAGTAGAGCTCCCTCTGGGTGACACGCTTTTCCTTAAGCAATATCTGATAGCACATCTCCATCACCTTCCACACTACAAGTGAGAAATTTATAACTCAGAAACGTAAAATTTCTTTGAAGGAAAAGGAAGTACAGAAAAATGAAAGACTGTATTTGTAGTCTGTACCCCTAACAAAGGCCTTTGCAGCATTAGGTCTCATCAGAGACCTTGTAGATACGGAATGGGAGAGAAAAATACATGATAATTCGGTCAAGAGGCCATGATTCACTCGACTGTTGCTCAATTTTCTCTGAATCTGTTCATTTCTTGAGATTACTAAGCTAAAATTAGGAATATATATTTGTTCATTCATTGGAAAACAAGTCAAGAAAAGATAATGTGGAATTAATTAAAATAAAAATGAAGCTAACAATTTCCAAACCGGTGATTAGAACTTATCAAGCCGAAACAGTGACTTAGCATATCATTATAATCGAATCTAAGAATATGGAGATGATGAGGGTACCAGAGGCAAATCTGAGATGGCAGGGTTCGATGCATTCAATATTTTGAGAAAATTGAGTACCGAAACTTCAATTCTTGCTCGGACCTGCATGCATCAAAACAAAACCGGCACGCCATTCGGAGTTCAAAACATAGAGATTGGAAGATGAAAGAGTATTACCTGAGCAGGAGGGACGATATCGGCATAACAAAGCTCTTGATCGGAGAAGAACTTTAGCGTCGTGTTATGAAGATCCTCCATTGGAGAGTTTGAAATCCCAAAATTTCGATAACTGTATGATTGGCGCGCAATGCAGGATGGGAGGTTCCCGTGATTGCCTTCTACAATTTTATTTTATTTTTATATCCTTTCTACAACTTTTAACCGTACAAAGATTTGCCAAACAATAAACACGATATTTGTAATTTTCTTTATAATAAATTATCATTAAAATACAAATACTATATAAGATTCAAAATAATTAAACTTCTCTAATGATTTGAGAATATTCATTTAGATTACAATATAAATCATTAAAATTAGGGGAAAATGTTTCTGGTTTTGTTGTAAAAAAATTTTTTTATCACATTTACATAAAAATACTTGGATTTCATTGTATAGAAAAAAAATATCTATATCAATTAGTGGGAGCCATTCATTTTTATATGAGTGTGATAGAAAATTTTCCTTTTAAGTTTGTAAAGGTTGAAGCCCTTGACTAATTGACCTAGTAATAAGGTCTTCATCCAACGAATTATTTTGGTATTTGTATGTGTGAATTGTTTTTGGATATAAGTTTTTGAATATTATTGTTATGCTTATAAGATCGTACCATATTCTTATAAGACATATGCAGATGAATTTATCAAATATTTATCAATTGATAATTTTATGATAAATGCTTAAAAATTTATTCAATACAATCTACAGTCAATAAATATTTAACACAACTTTGAATAATGGTACCCATAAGAAAATGGATATCGGTCACCAAAGAAGCCATGAACGATGAGTATATTTAGATGTAAAAATTTGACGTGAGAAATGTAACACCCCGTTCTAGAACCGGTTTGTTAACATCGCATTATGATATTAAGCGCAGTTACAATTACATGGGTTTAATTAAAATCCGGATAAATTTTTCATTTTAAAACATGCCGAATTTATAATACCCAATTTCGTGATCATAACCGTATTACCTTGCGGAATCAGATAAATTAAGCTTAACATCATGTTCTTATTCTATTTTTAAACCATTAATTTACTTCTTATTTATTTCACAACTTCTGCTATATTGCAGATCTCTTCATTAGCTACTCGTGGCTTCAAACCGCGCTCAAATCGGAGCACTGTAGCCCAAGTTAGGACAATTTGAAGCAACACAAGAGAATGTTGGTCACAGGCCCCGCGCGCTTCAGCGCGCGCTATCGGGCGCTAAAGCCTCCACCTGGGCGCTTAAGCGCACGGAGGCAGGATGCATCAGGTATTTCAGTGTGAATGGGCGCTTAAGCGCGCATCAGGGCGCTCAAGCGCGCTATCCTGGGCGCTCAAGCTCCCATTGGGACGTTTTAGCGCGCAGAGATAGAAGCATCTCCTCCTTCAGTGGCTAAGGGCGCTCAAGCGCGGACCAGGGCGCTCAAGCGCGCAACCCTGGGCGCTTAAGCCCCACTCTGGGCGCTAAAACACGAGGGGACAGTAAGCATCCCATCTTTCTGCAGCGAAGGGCGCTCCAGCGCAAGCCAGGGCGCTCCAGCGCGCAATCCTGGGCGCTTAAGCCCCCACTTGGGCGCTCCAGCGCGAGGAGGCCGAATGCATTGCCACTCACAGGGGCAGCAGGGCGCTTGGGCGCGCTCCTGGGCGCTTAAGCGCGCTGCCAGGGAATTCCAATTCCCACATTTTTCAAGTCCAAGCCTAGGGGAATATGCATCCCCATTACAAACCCCAATTGTCCATGCCCCAAAACTAAATCCTAGCACTCATCCAACCTCTCCTCATGAGATTTAGCTAGAATTTGGGCAGCATGACCTTTGTTTTCTCATCGTTTACCAATTTAAACAAAGGGTACCTAATTGATTTTCAGCCCAACCAATTCAACAACTCAATACATAACAAGCATACATATATTGAATTTCAAGTAGGCATCATTTACATTACATATCCTTTACAAATCATAGAACTTAGCTTACAAAACACTATGATCATTCCCTTGGCTCCCATCAACAAAAGGTGTAACCAAAGGCATGAGCATAGGCTAAGTTCATCCAATGAATCAAGATATACAAATGACCATGGGCTTTCAAAATAAAATCCTATACATGTCAACTACAAAAGGCATGCATAAACTCAAAAGAAATGCCACATTTCATGCATAATCCAGATATGGCCACTTGCCACCAGAGGCTCCTGCAGCATCCTTACCTGAAAGGGGGTCCCCACAACACGGGGTGAGATATACGAATATATCCAGTAAACCAGGGGTCCTTGGAGCATCTCTCCACCCCACAGTTCCATATCAGTGTAATAGCAATAACAATAATAATGCAGTAAATACATATCTATGCAAAGTGCAATACATCTCCAGAAGAAATCCCTCGAGCTCTCAAGCTGTCCTAAGGAAACTCAGATGCAAATAGTCCTACTGGCCAGCTAACTACCAAGTATGATTTACGCATCGTGATGCAACATACCACATAGGGAAACACCATCCTATGCCACACCAAATGCATACACATACGTATAACAAAGCATTACACTATTTCATTGCATTTATATACACTATAATCACCACTACCCTTTCAGGGCTTGGTGGAACAATCAAGGGAATTACACCCAAGGTCCGAAGGCTTACCTCAAGCTTCAATTCGACCTTTGTTCACCACCAATGTCAACAATACTCTACTCCAAAACCAACACCTACACATGGTGTAATGCAATCAACACATTGCATCCAAGAGTATTTCACAATCAACCATCAACTACTCAATTCAAAACACTACACAAGTATGAGCTTACCAATTCCAATGAGCTACTCAAGCTCCATAGCTTGCTCAAGCTGTTGATCACTCAAGGTCGGTCCAAGTGTCTCAATCCTAGACATCATTAGGACACAATCACCAATCAACCAAGCCAAACCATTTATTAACAATGCAAGAAATCCAATATCAAGCATCATATTCTTGCTATTTTACAAGTATACTCATTTAGCTATCTAAGCTCATTTTCACCGATTAAATGTCGTTCCTAGCATTTTTCACAACATGCTCTAAGCTCCATTCTTCCTAGAACATAGCTAATTTAACAACATTTCATCAAAATCCCTAAAACACTATTCATAAACCCTAACTCATGCAAATTTCAAGGAATCATGAGGTTCAAGGGTTAGAATCTTACCATCAATGGTCACACAACCAAGCAAGGAGTGTTCCTCAAGCTCCCATGGAGGTTGAACTTCCCATAACCCCAAAATCTCTCCAATGGCCGAATTTTTGAGAGGCAATATCCCTCTCCACAATGCTCCCCACTCAAAACAAAGCAAGGATTATGAAAGAGGGCGAGATTCTAAGCGATTTAGGCTTTTGAATCACCCAAAACGGTCAAGGTTTGATCTCTCTCTCTCTTCCTCCCTTCCTTCTCCCTCATTTCTCCTTCTTCTTCTTCTTCTCTCTGTTTCTGGCTCGACGGGGAAAGGGGGGGGGGGAAATGGGTTCTTTTAGTAGCTTAAGTCACTTAACATAGGTTAAGTGGCTTTAAGCGGATATTGGTTCGTCTATCTATTCAACTCCAATACTTACCAAACTTTACCCAAAAGTCTGGAATATTATTCTAGGGATATTTATATTTTTATTTTTATATTTTGGGCACTTTCACCAGTACCCATTTATACCCCTTAATTTTCACTGAGTACACTTTTTAACTCCAAAGTGACTCAGATTCATTTAATTAAGCCTTATACTTAATTTTACTCACTAAAACATGTTTAATTTATTAATTACACTTGATTTACTAATTAATTAAGATGGGCTATTATAAGAAATGGAAAGAAACGGATCTAAGAAGCTCATGGTGGAAGACAACCTACCAATGGGCTAAGCTACCAAGTTGATAGTTTTTTTTTTTTTATGAGTAAGGCTCTACATCAAATAAATTCACATAGAGAAGTATAGTAAAGACTCATTGTGATTTTGGACTTCAGAGAAATTCTTACATATATAACACTCAATAATCCTATCAAATGGTTAACACAGTTATTTATAGACTCAGACTTTGGATTTTAAACATACTAAAGAATCATTTCTCTTCTATACTGGGTACACATTTTGGACCCTATCGTCACATCAAAATAGAGAAAGATTCTTTTTACAAATTAACTAAATAAAGAAAGTTTACTTATAACAAATAAAAGAATGACACTTATTTTAAGACTACCCTTACCGACACTAATATTTACAATAAAACTTGCCGACACTTGATACAAAAGATAATGCCTTCACAATATAGCCTGTTGCTTCTCACGAGACTCTTCATTATTATACTACCAAGGATGCTTTGAAATAAAGATGTCCGAAGATAAGATTTCTTGACAGATTATGCTGAACCTAGTTTTAGACCCTATCATTTATGTTTTGTCTACCGATTGTATCTAGGGAGTCTAACACTAAACATAGATCATAGGGTCTAAAACTAGGTTCAGCATAATCTGTCAATAAATCTTATCTTCGGACATCTTTATTTCAAAGCATCCTTGGTAGTACAATAATGAAGAATCTTGTTAGAAGCAACAGGCTATATTGTGAAGGCAGCATCTTTTGTATCAAGTGTCTGCGGGTTTTATTGTAAATATTAGTGTCGATAAGGGTAGTCTTAAAATAAGTGTCAGTCTTTTATTTGTTATCTGTAAACTTTCTTTATTTAGTTACTTTGTAAAAAGAATCTTTCTCTATTCTGATGTGATGATTGAACCCAAAATATGTACCTTGCACAGAAGAGAAAGGATTCTTTAGTATGCTTAAAATTTGAATTTTCAACTCCAAAGTCTGAGTCTATAAATAAATGTTGTAACCATTTGATAGGATCATCTGAGTGTTATATATGTAAGAATTTCTTTGAAGTCCAAAATCGTAATGAGTCTTTATTATAGTCTCTCTCTGTGAAATAAAAATCCTTCTAAATATTGAAAACAAGTTTTTGATCCTACTTCTTCAGTTTTCCAAAAAAAATTCGGGGATTTTCGAAAAGGGAATCCTTCTTCCTTTTCTAAATTTATAGTTATATTGTTTCTCTTGTTGATCTTTCTGGTGGTATATGTTGTTCTTACTTGTTAGATTATTTTCATATAATGTTATGAGTCGGGTAATCTTGCCCCGTTTGATATGAATCACTATTCACCAACTCTGGCGGAGCCAATAAATCACCATTATTTAAGGGATTATGGTGTCGAATCCACTTGTTAGCGTTGTGCTAACTTAGTCCATTGAGGATAATCTTCGGTCACAAACTCTCCTCGGACCCACTTGACAAATCTGGCCTAGCCTCCCGTGATCACAAATATTAAATATCAATTACTTGTCTTCATGCACTGCTTTTTAGTTTTTATAAGATTGTTCTTCGTTCTTCATAAAAATAAGAACGGATGAACTCGAAATAATAGAATTTAAATTATTGATGACAGGATGTAATTAAATTTTAATTTATTTAACTATTTTACTTTTGGCCCCCGCACCAATTAATAGCTGAATTGTTCCCCTGATACAGAGGGCAGGGTAATTAAGAAAGAAGCGAGAAGGTTTGGTTGTCCTAGCCAATACATGCATCGTAAGGGAGTAGTGGTACCCAAAAGGAGAGTGGTCCTTCAACAAGGGCGGGAGCTATATTCAGGGTGACTGCCCTGTGAAATCCATATGAATAAGCCGCCGAAAAAAAACAAGAAAAGAAAAAAAGTTGATTTAGTAGGAAAATTTCTTACTTCCTCTTTGAAGATTACCATTATCTTATACACCAAGTCTCACAAATTAATCAAATGAGATCCCAGATCGAGTGAGATAATTACAATTGATACAGTAAAAATAAGTTTCTCCAATAAAAAAGAAAACAAAAATTATTATTAAGCCTCTCAAACTGAAACGCAATCCAGCTCAAAAACAATGGACAGTTTGGAGAAAATTCTAAGATAGCACTCCGGTATGACATAAAAAAGATGCTATTGCTACATAGTTTGAACTTTAAAGCAAAAGACGCATATATTCAAAAGGCTCAAAGCACAAAGTAATGAAGCTTGCTCCTTTTTTATATACAGTGATTATTATAGCCGAACCTAGGTTGACATTTCTCCAAAACCCTCCTTGCAAGAACTCTTGCTTCCATTTGTAATTCTAGTCAACCAACACACCCTCCTCTTTATTTCTTCTTGACTAATTGATCTCCTTTACCTCCATCATTACGCTTCCTATATAGCTGCGATTTGCTGGTGGAAGAACTTGCACGCTTCATGGACTGGGATCTGCAAGCTATTGTGGGATGCATCAGTGAGGCCCCAGCCACCACCATGGACACCCCACATCTTAGTTTTTCTCATTTCTGTTGTGAACAAGGTGACCTACTTTGCAATTTTCAGGAATTCTCAGAAACCACAACGGTCGTCGATGAATTGGAAGAGTTATACAAACCTCTTTCCATCTCTACAATTTCCCTCCCTATCCCTGAAGAAACCGAAGAAGTCAAAGTACCATCAAACAAAGTAGCTGTACAAGATTTGCGAGATCCAGCAGCATCTAAATGTTGTAAAAGAAGGTCGGTTATATAATTATATATTCATTCAATTAAATATATGAATATTGAGATTGATCATTTACATTAAAAAAAGGTCAAAGTTTCCTAATTATGTAATAGTTGGTGGGTATGGCTCATACTTCGCATGTTGTTAGGGTTTTCTAATCCTATTTCTATATTCCTTGTAAATCGAGTGACTTGTAACGAGTGGCGGCGGAGAGAATATAGTACAGACAAACTGGACGTAACCTTAATTGGATGAACCAATATAAATTGCTGTGTCTATTCTTTCTCTCTTTTTTCTTTTCTTTTTTCTTTTTAGATTTGTGTATTGTCGATTTTCAACAATAGTCTGAGTATTCTGAGTATGTAGTATAATGTTGTGCATTAATTAGTGATAAATTCAGCAAGAAGAACAAGAGGGTGAAGTATGTGACAGCAGCAGATGGTGTTTCCGACCCATGGGCATGGCGTAAATATGGACAGAAACCAATAAAGGGATCTCCCTATCCACGTAGCTATTATAGGTGTAGCAGCTACAAAGGATGTTTGGCTAGGAAACTGGTGGAACGGAGCCATTTGGATCCTGAAGTTTTCATAGTTACCTACACAGCAGAACATAGTCATCCTCACCCAACTCGCAAAAACCCACGAGCAGGGAACAAACAGAAGAAAAACAGTTCGATAATTGCACCTCCAAGCACTCATGATCAAAACACTTTTACTCCTAATTCCACAGCAGTACTTCTCTTTCCAAGGACTTCACCTGTAGTGGTGGAGTCCATTGAAGAAGTGCTTGAACAGAGTAAGGTGTTGAAGAAAGAGGAAGATTTTGTGGATGGTGATGGTTGGTTTCCAAGCATCGAGCTAGCTAGAGAAACTAAATGGACTTGACCAACAACTTGCATTAGATGGCTGCGGCTTCATCGATGGTACTTTTGCTGAGTCTTGGTTCGTCAATCAATCTAACGTAATGACGTATAGTTCTAGTTTGTGACTTGCCATTTTTCTCTTGCGCGCGCGGAGAGTGGAGATCATAGTCCATGGTTCCTCTCTACCTTTCTTTTCAAACTTTCTTTGTTTTGTCTTTTATGTAGTGAATCTTTCGTTCTTCATTCCGAATACCAGAAATAAAATTCAATCCCGAGCATACGCTCTTTATTGTTGGGAAACTACCATTTTTTATTCATTATTTGATGGCTAGAAACTGTATAATCTATGATCTCACTGTATTTATTCAACTAAAATTTTGAAATGCACCGAATGACTGTTTTAATTAATTATTTAGTTTTAAATAATTGTAATTAACATGCTAAAACAAGTAATCTTTTTTATTGTACCAAAAGAATTTGATCGTCTTTCGAAATCTCTTTTTTCTGGTAACATTTTTCGTAATCTCTGATATGATCATACGACGGAATTGCAGTTAATGTTAAAAATGATATTTGATGATACAACCTTTTAAGTTTAACTTTAGTCACATATCTAAGTTAAATAGAACCAGATTTTTTAATACTAGCCATATTATAATTAGTTGTCTGTTATTTATTTAACTACTTATTATTTAAATTAGGTAGTACTTATGGACTGATAAAGCTAATAAATTGTTATTTAATCATTAACATAAAAATTAATATGAACTCACTTAATTACTGGCTATTTAATTTATATATAAGTAAAGTTAAGAGTGCGATATCTCCTTAATTTGATCAGTTTTACTTGCTGTTGCTTTTTTTTTTTAGTTTCCTCAAGTATATCTGCCGATAGTCGAAGATTAATTCAAACCAACATACTTAATTCACCAACCATCTACCATAAAATGCTTAAGGTAGTGTTTGGTAAAAGATTTATTTTGGGATTGATAGAAAATTGTAAGTGGATATTGAAAAATATCACATTTGGTTCAGGTTTTTGAAAAAAATACTAGGCAAATAGGATAGATGGGGAAATAACTTTTGTGTTGATTTTTTGATGAAATTCACTGTTACAAAATACCACTTATGATGTGATATTTTGGGATAACTGAGAGAGTTAAAAAACAGGTGCGAAGTTTCTCCCGAACATAGATTTTGCAAATTTAAATAAATTTCTTTGGTAATATTTCGGTCAACCAAATATTTTTTTTATATTTTCCTACCAAACTCACTTTCCAACCATTTCTATAGTAATTACATTTCCCTAGTATTCAATAGGTTTCTCCTCAAACAAATGCCTCCTAAGAGACTCTTCGTTGTACTTGCTGTTGTTTTTCGACTATATACTGTGTACCTTTGTTTTTTTTTTTTTAAAAAAAAAAAACTGAACCTGAATCACGTATTTTTTTTTTAAAGAAACTATAAGTACTGTCTCTAGACTTTGCACAAACATATATTCTTTAATAAAATTATATCATATCCTTTCATTTAAAAAATAATACTCATTTATTTCATCAAACATAAAAAAATTACGTTACCAAAATGTAAATTCTTCTCACGAAAAAAGAAGCAGCGGCTAGACAAATTCACAGCAATACATAAGATCCGTTTGGATAGCTTTTAAAAAAAATGACATTTTTTACATATAAAATTACAATAAAGGAGAAATAAAATAACATGATCGGAAAATAAGGAGAGATAAAATAAGTATGATAGGATGAGGTTAAAAATGTATTTTAAAAATTTATATTATCTTGTTTCAAAACAAAATTGTATTATCTTTTAATTTTTGCTTTATTCAAAAGCAATTAATTACTGACTAAAAAAAGCAACATTTTAACCTTTATTTAAAATTTTGCTTTTTAAAATATTATTATCCAAACATCTAAAAATTTTCAAAGGAGCTTTTTTAAAAAAAAACAACAACTTTTGTAAGAATAAAAGTTCATCCAAAAAGGACACATATTATAATGTGTGGGGTAAGCGATTATATTTGTTTATCGAGAAAATTAGGTGCGAATTTAGCTAAGTTCTTTAAAAATAAAAAATAACTTGATGTGGATTACGACGATCGATGACATCATTTCTTAATCCTTGCTCCCTAACAAATAATAACTGCCAACTGTTATTTTTCTAGAATTTTTCGTATGCAAATGGGGCATCAATCCACCGACTCCTGGCAGGCAGCCGGCCACCGACGCATCCCAACTGTAAGGGAGAACGACTTCTTTCTTTCTATATTTTGACCTTAAAAAAAAGATGAAGCAAATCTCCATCACACACGCGAACACACACATAATCTCAATTGGATAAATTAGCGCAATTCGATTGCAATTTGTCCATACACATATATTCCCTTTTCTATAACCGATAAAGAGAAAGACGCTTATGGTTTTACTGTATAACTGACTATAAGAGCGCGATTTTAATTTATAATGACAATACAGTGGTTTGATCCTAAAATTCCTTACAAATTATTTAAATCTTGCTACTACTAGCTCATTTGTAATGGCTTTATCAAGAAGATTTTCTTAACATGGATATGGCGGGTTAGATAATTAATAATATATCGGCTTAATCAACCAGACACGTATGTAATCAGGGATTGATTATATTAAACTAATCAGCTTCATTAGCCTTCCAGTCATCAATCTGGGGAAACTGCAAGCTCCTCGGTTCGGTTTCACCAAGCAAAGCAGCCACTGAACCCACGAAAGCAGCATTCATATAGGTTGTAGGCTCGCTATGAGAATAGTCAGATCTTTCATCATTGAATCGGTCATTGGAATCAGGGCCTCCAACAATCGCACCCATATGAGTATTGGGATTTGGATTGGGGGAAGAGTAATACTCTGACTGACCATCATTGCAACCAACCTTAGCCGGGTGAACTTTGATTGAAGGTATGGATGACCCTCTATGATGTAATTGCTTTGGGTATTTACTGCCAAATCCCACCATGTACGACATCTTCATAGGATTGTTTCCTAGTATGTAATCCACCTGCATTACAGTACACATTCATGTCTGTTGAGATTAACTTGTACATTTTTAGTTGCAAGGTTAGATCATTATTGTTCTTTTGTTGTCTTATGTAATTGTAACTAATTTTATGTATGGCCTTAATAATGTATGAGAAGAAAAGTTAGATTAGAATATATACCTGTGTTTTCGCAAAGGCTCTAATTTGAGAGGGGGCGAAGTGCGCAGAGCCGCAATTGATTCCATCAATATGATTTCTGTCTAGGATTTTGGAGAAAATGAATAGCACCATAGTTGAGCTCGTGGCATATTGCAAATTACTACTATCTCTAGTATACAGAAGCCCGCCTGAGTGAACAATAATACGCTACTTCAGTTCATTCCGTCAGCAACAATGATGATTGAAACGAGAGTAATTGACTATATATATAAATGGGGAAGGTTACAAACTATTTTTATAAATTTTTGAAAATCGTATTTTTATAAACTATACTACGTACTCCCGTAAATACATTAAATTACACTATGTATTTCATAAAATAAATAGTATAATTTGCAAAAATTTGTAAACGGATATTTTCCATAAATATAATAATATATACATATATACCAGGAGTTGGATGAATTTGTCGTGAGCTACTTCCTGGCATCACTGCACATATAAATGATTCAGCATCACTCTTAATCTTGGCCAAGTCCTTCTTCCCACCATAGAATTCCTGGAAAGGAGTAGTATTAATGAGTCATTTCCTTCGAACATAGGATAACTATAAGAATGCCACTTTGTTATATGGTAGGTGCGTAATTGGTAATTAAATAATTAAAGACCTCTGTTAATAATGTCTGAGCTCCAACAAATTTGTTATCCCAGCTGAACTCAGTTACTGCCCGACTCCAACCTTGGTTGTCTATGGTGTAGCTCAAGAACTCACTCTCTCCACTGGCCTTGTATAGCCAAGAAGCTGCCCATAACAGTTCATCCTTTTTGTACAGAATTCAAAAATCACGGTCTTGATGAATGATCTTGGAAAAATTAGTTAGTGTTTATATGTTTCCAAGAGCAGTTTTTACCTGGTAACCTGAGTACGAACAGTAAAATGGACAAGAACCAGAGTAAGAACCTCTGTACTTGTCTGCAAAATCAAACAACTGCAAAACATCATCAATATAAAAGGTTATTAGTAAATTTTGTATCAACTACGTAAACAACTTAAATGCGCATAAAGTTTTTTATAAGCAAGTTGTTGGATTTAAGGCATGTTTAATTACAATGTAAGAAAGTGGTAATAACCAACTCCTGACCAATGGATCATAGAGCCAAATGATGATCATAATAATCCATGAATGAAAATAAATCATGCTCGTTGAATTGCTTACTGATTTTGACTGGGTTAATAGCCTTGAGGAATAATTGGCATCTGTTTTGTTGAAAACAATTGAAGCAGCAGAAAGAGCAGCAGCAGATTCAGCTGCAGCTTCAGTTCCTGGGGAATTAGCATCAATCTTGTAGAGCGTCCTCGGTGTATCCATGTCTTCCGGGCGCTCCCAACATTGGTGATCTGCGTTTCCATCTCCCACCTATCACAACAATACTAATGAGCTACGGATAATATAATTACAATTACAATGCAACACATGTATATATGTACCATTTAAATGTCAAGCACTATTTCATACTATCGGTTCACCTTTTTTCTTTTCAATTATATACGACCTTTCACGTTAACCTTTTAGCTAGCTTCGTTCATATGTATAAATTATGATATTAAAGAGAATATATAGGCGCCACAAATTTGAATTTATATATGTATTTCATAACAACTTAGCTATATATATTAAAACTTAAAAGCATGTGTTTGTTAATGTATAGAAACAGGCCTGTGTAAAGAGGGTGGTTGGTGAAGTGTGAGCTTGCAAAATGAAGTCTGCGCCCCAGCGGATAGCACTGTGGAGGTAGTCAAGCTGGTTCACTGAAGATATCTCATTCTCGTACTCAACAGCAGCCCAACTCAATAATGTGACTGTGAATGCCATTGGCCATCCAAACTTAACATTATCACCCGCATCGTAGTATCCTCCAATTAAATTCACCTGCCAAAGATAATAGATGATTGACAAATAAATTTATGAAACACATAAACATATATATAATTATAGCAAGCATTGTATTATATAGGCCCCATTCAAAGCTTTAAGACCGGTCAGTATATATATATATTAGGATATAGGAATTATGTTATACATTTTGAAGCTTGCCATCAGAGAGAGCCGAGTCTCCCCTCCACTTTACTCTTTGGCTTGTGGGCAACTTCCCTGAGCGTTGTCCTTCAAAAAACAAGATGGATTTGCCAAGAGCATCTGCATAGTCATAATTATCTGAGGAAATCATTATCTCCTCATTCCTCATGGCTAGTCCATTGCGACCAACCACAGCACACCACAATAACACACAACTAACCACCCAGTAGTACCCCATGATGACTTGGTGTCTTGGTGACTCTCTTAACTCTGCAGGATTCAGCTAAACTTGCTAGTATATGTATATATAGGGAGAGAGAATGGCCGTTACCTAACTGCTATTAACTCAATGGGATAGGAAAATGTACAACTCGAACGTGCATATATATAAGATATGTAAGGGTGGAGTGGGGGATAGCTTGACGTGTAACTATATGCACATAACAATTTAAGTGAGACTAAACGAGTCCCGGAGATGGTATAAATATTCACGTACATGACCCATTCCCCATGAACGTCATATATTGTTATAATTCCGTGTTAGTAATGCCTTCTCCGTATGCGACTCCTATGGTTACTAATTTTTCTTTTGGTTACCTATGATTACCAATTTTCATACAGAGAGGTGGTGTAATAGTTTTTTATATGTGAATAGTACATTAGATAAGAAAATGTTTCGGCAGCACGGATCTGTTTTCTTGAAAAAAGAGAATGGGCATTGACGTTTCCCTTTCCAATTGCTACATTTGATTGGCCATACATGTAGTTCGTTATAGCATTTCACTGCAGCTCTCGCTGACTCAAATAACTGAATAAGCTTTTCTTTCATATCAGAAATCTTCGGTCGTCATGTGATTCCATATAAAAACTCTCCCACTATGATAATTCAAAGTATGCTTTCGTACCGATATGAAAATGTGAAACTCTCACATTTCTAAATATTTATATTTTCGTGTTTTAATAACATGTGGACATTATTTTTCTCAGAAAAATGTACATCGTATGCTTTCGTACCGATATGAAAATAGCAGCAAACATCATAAATCTTTTGAGTTCAATGAACCTCAAATTCGGTGGGACCTACTTGTTCCATAGCTTCAACTCTTAACTGGATTAACCCTATTCGGTGATTACTGTTCCCATCCACATGGGTCTTATTCCTGAATGATCAAAGTCAATCCGATCACATGGATCACATACCATTCTCTCAGAAATTATGCTGCAAATTTTGAAAGAAAATCATCGGCTTCGTTATTACTTTCCTCCTTTCCAACATCTTTCGGCAATACATAGGATAGATTAATTTGTTTTTCTTTTCTTTTCTTATTCAGATAAGGAAGGACAAATCACTTGCATGTGGTTTACGCATTCACCGTAAATTAACTGAGAGATTGAAGGTGAAGAAGAAATACCAGTGCTAATATGCGTATGCAAATCATATGAGGACTAATTAACTCTAGAGTACTAGCGTTGGTGTCGCAACTTTATACGCTCCCATAATTTAAACACAACTATGATGTGCCATTGATTTAGAGAGTCAAAATACTAACACAACATATATAAAAGTAGTGCTTACTTTTTTACGCGAAATGTTACTCCTTTTTTTGTGACAAGTTATGATACTAGCTTTTTCCATAATTTATTTCAATTATATTTTACTTTATTTGAACACAACACGTAACCTTCCAAGCTCAAGCAATATGAAAAAGAAAAATAACTACAGGTTAATTCTTGGGTCAGGATTATTTTACATTAATATAAGTTACACTCTTAATATTAATTTTTAATTTTATTTATATCTAACAGCTCATATTTTTTAGTTATGTGAGTCATTAAATACAAGTAGATCACTGATCATTATATATTATTTTTAGAATTTTTTCACAAAACACTTACTATTAAAAATAAAAATAAAAACAAGTTTTTTTTTTCATTTGTTCTTAAAACTAAAAAAAAAAACTATTTTCTGGAACAATAACAGACCTAAATCACTGACATTGTAAGAAAGTTTGCATGAAGTTTCAATTCACTTTTTGTGCAACCGACAATTGCTTGATAAAATCAAATGAAGCTATGAAAATAATAAAGGAATGATTTTTCTCATTTGCTTTCAAATTAATTTTGTTTTTGGTTTTAAATATTATTATTATATAATTCAATGTAAATTTAAAATTACATACACTTCTTACTTATTGTAACTGTTTTCAATAAGTACTTCTCAAATTTTTATTCTGTAGTTATAATTGAGTTTTATGAAACTTTATAGTTATTGTCCTGGACGTTCATACTGGACTCATATTTTGGCCCAGTTTATTTACTCCATGCACAAACATTTCAGCTCCAAATGGAGTGATAATTTTAAGTTGTCACCTATCAGTCTATCACAACATGATGATATAGGAACAATGATATCTCTTGGTCTACAGTATTTTCATGATTTTCTCCATGATAATGGAGAAGCTCCTATAACTTATAAATGCATAGATCAAACTCTCAAATATGGATCTTAGTTGACACTTGATCGTACCTTAACTTGAGGGTCGTAAGTTTCTGTTATATGTGCACCACTTTTTGCCAAACAGAGCGCTCAATCTAGTCATCGCCAACAATTGATAGCTAAAAAGTCAAGGAATTGTGTCATCTAACATGTAAGTATATTCTATCTGAATAGTTATAATACTATGTCTAGCATTACCTTTTTAATTTTAATTTTGAAAAAGGGTTGAGAAATACTACAACAAAATGTGAACATTGTTACTTATTCTTGATTTGATAAAAAATAAAATACAAATTACTAATGCATAATTCACATCAATACGGTATTAAATACAAATCCATATAAGAAACCATGATCAGTGTTCAAGAGCTGAAATTTGACATAACAACTTGGTACGCATCCAAATAAACTATTTATGGGGAATGTTATTCTTATTTTACATGAGAATAATTCTATCATGCTATAGAGAAAAACCAAGTGGAGCTCACCATTAAAGAGAGCGAGAAAGAGTGAGATTTTTGAAGTGAGAGAAAATGAGATAATTATATCATGTAAAATGAGAGTTGTATTTCCCATAGTTTATTAGCAAAAATCATTTGGCCATGCATCCATAATATAAATTATATGTTCGAACTTCGAAACAATTTTGATAACTCAAACTTTTGTCTAACTCTCAAGAAGATCATCCGGACGCAAAATCATTATGATCGAAATACTCTTTTCAGTTACATTTACATATTTCCAAATTTTCCAACAGCCGTACGAGTCCATAACTAAACTAAAAGAGAATCCATCCTTTATACAAAAGACTTGATACATATAACAATTTACAATTATTTATCACTTGGTTATTACTATTATCATTATTTTGTGAAAGAAATGTCTAAATCCCAAAAAAAATAGAAAGAAGCTTAGGAAATTCTAATGTTGTGAGATCTATTCACAAATGAGAGATAATCAAGAAATAAATCCCTAAGACCTAGAGAAAGATCATGAAAAAATTAAACATATCATTTCCTTGATTCTTTGCAGGTCAATCCACACAACAATTTCTTCCACTTGGATTGGAATTTTATACACCAAAACTTTGCTAACCCAGCTAGAATACGTGTGTTGAATTTGATTGGACTTTGAGCAGCATGGCCTATCCCAATTTGAGCAAATCTAATTTGAGTTAACTTTAAGTCCAGGAGGCTCAGTGAGAAGCTAACTGGGAAGTCCAGATGTAAGTCCCATCACCAGGCCCAAGCCACGACTACCACGTCCAATATACAACGGGCCAATGGGCCATTAGCACAATTAATCAGACCATCACTTCGGGCTACCCTCTCTATTTTTCCTTATCTTCAGTTGTTTATTTGAATTTTTTTTTTTTAAATATTCCAATCGGTTCATCGCTTCGCAACTAATCCGATTCGGGACGGGCCCAGGATTAAGTTATCAATCATTGCTGTATTGGCTTTATACCAATGTATCAATCACTGCGCACTAATAATAGATGTATAGCCAATACGTGGGGGGACGGGGTGTGCACAGTATTGACAGCAATAGGAAATGAGTTCAAAAGTATGTACTTGAGATCTTTAGCCTTTATATATATTGTTTACCTCTATAGGCTTGGGGCCTTTAGATATTTCCAGGTTGTTAATTTTTTATAGTCACTACTGGGATAGGAGTTTCATTCATTGATCCACTGTTAGTTAGGATATCATATGGATAGGCCTTGATCCTTTGTTGGATAAATTGTTGAGATATGGATCCAGTCCATAATAGTTGTTGCCCAGCCCAGCAGTTCGAGAGCTTGGACTACTGGGATGTAGAAGTTTTCGAAAGATCTCAGCTATACAAGGCCATTATGTCAGGATCTTGGCACTGGATTGAACTATTATTGCTTTCGTCATGCTTGGCCGAGGTAGATGACTGACTAGATTAAACTCTCATGGGAACTTATTTGGGGTTCAGCCTATTTGAACTAAAACTAAACCGAGGTGAAAGTTACGAGAATGGTGTCGAGGCTCAAGTCGGGCTTGGTTGCTTACCTCCAACTATGTTGCCATCACATCATAGTGACTGCTCGTTTCAGCTACTACCATGACGGTTACGCAAATCCACGCGTCACTTGGCTAATGGTGGTCCGTGCATCGTGGAGCAAGAGTCGCCCTTGCTTTTCGTAGGTCATGATGGCCTTCATTAAATGTTTAATGGAATTACCCTTTCATCGCTGTCTTTTAATTTTTGCACCCAAGGGCTTTTAACACCTTCAAACCTCCTCATCTGAAGCTGTTTCCTTTGCTTTTATTCTTGTTCCCTGAGATTCCCTCTACATTTTGGGTTTTTCTTTGTATTTCTTATTCTTGTCGAAGTTCTGTCCATAATTGTTACATATTCGTCGTTGTCTTTTCCATCAATCAGGTAGTTCTCAAACACTTTTTCCCTTTGTGCATTGTTATTTCTTTTCTACTTTTTAGCTTTCTCAGTGTCAAGTGAGAGTGATTCTGGGGTTTTCTTTTGAGAACCCCTTCCTTTTCCTTTCTGGAAAGAAATCCTGGGGATTTCTTTTCACTCTTTGGTTTTTGGGTGGAGATGAGTAGATAAGGCTCTGGTTCAGCTCCCGGTCGATATGGAGATAGTGAGGCTGTTGCAAAGGAAAGGGACTTAATCCAAAAGCTGACCAAAGGAGCTCGTTACTGGCTCTGGGGCGAGGAATACACGGAGGAGGAAAAGTGGCAATTGTTCCTTCGTGGCCATCGAGGTGGGAGAGGTAAACGGAGACCAATTACCTAGGAATATGGACGGGGCCATGTCGCGCCAACTAATGAGCACCTGAGCATACGAGGTCGCTCTTCTCGGCTTGGTGAAGCTCTAGGTCGAGATCGCATTTCCTCCCTTAGGACCACGATAATAGGCTCTTCAAGTGGTTTCTCCTCGAACGTGGTGGCAACAGGAAATAGGAGTTTTTCTCCTATTCATATGTCGGATTCTTGTTCAATTCTTACTTGAATTCCACCCATTGAACTTAGTGATGGTTCTTCTACCTCGTCCTCTTATGAGCTTGACTTTTCTAAGTTCAACCTCGATCGAAGAAGCTCGGGTGCATCCTTTATTTGTGCTTACTCCCAAGCCTTCTTGTTCCAGGTCACCCATGGCAGAGCCATTTAATGAGGACCAGGATGGTTGCGGTTGGGTTTTACAACAAGTTATGAACATACGATAATGAGGACCTATGAATGTGAGCTGATTTTACAAAACTAACATTTGATAAATTTTTGAAAAAAATAATTAATATGCCACAAAAGGGTCAAAATGCGGCGTTAGAGATCAAACTCAAAATTCCTAAATGAATTTGACCGTTCTCAAACAAGTTTTGTTCTCAAACCAAAACAACCTCAAATTGTTCTCACAGTTAGGGCTTTAATAAGATAGGGTATTTTAGTCATAAAATATTAAAGCATGATTATTTATGTCCTATAAATTATATAAAATTTTCCCAACAGGTGGAAATCCAAGAATACCACCCACCTGGTATTTTTTCCAAGGATTCTTATTCACAATTTTAATTCTCAGGAATCTCATTTTCCCAGAAAAATTTTAAAATTCCTTATACCAAACGTGGATAACTAGGATTCCCAACATAAGAAAGCGGTGTATTGGATTAGGATTTTAAAAGACTATTTTGAGATAAAAAAAACTTATAGATTTTAAAAGACTATCTAGAATTGTATTAACTTTAAAACTTTTTTAAAAGATTTTTTTTACAATCAAGATTTTATAAGATTGTGTTTCAAAGGATTTTAATAGAATTTATAAGATATAAAAGGATAATATGGATTTATAAGATTTTAAAATCATATAAATTTTTAACAAACATTCAAAAGCACAAGAGTCAATATAAAAAATAAAGAAATGCAATGATATTAATAAAAAAAGCAAAACCTAATATAATTTTTACAATCAATAATTTGATGTAACTTGATGTTTTACTCAACAGCAGCTCTCCACATATCTATATTAGTCATCCACGCATTAGCATCTTCTCGTTTCTGTTCTTGGGTTTGACCAATGGGATGAAAAATATCTTCTCCTTTGGTATTAGAGCTATGCATATATGATTATACGACCCACAATTTTTTTATTTATTAAAATAATTTGAAATTTGCATTTAAAACCTAAAGTTCGTGATAAATTTTCATTTGGAATTTTTTGCAATTGATCTTGGAAACTTAGGGGATTTTGTTCTACGTGATAAGAGTTTTCTAACCATATATCATATGCATGTTTTCATTAAGTATTATAAGATAATTTTGAATCTGAATTTTTGGGTTTTATTACATGAAAGTTGAAAATTTTCTCAAATTATTTTCAATTGAAATCTTAAATTGCTTTAGGGCTTTTAAAAAATAAGCTGATTTATTAACACAAAATTTGTTTGAATTTGTTTCTTATAGCAAAGGAATTGCGTTCATGAATGTATTGTTACAAAACATATATTCATATTATGAAAGTTTCAATCTTTCTTTAAATCGATCTTGTTTCATTGATATAAAATAGAAATTGGTTTGGGATTTTTTATTCACATGTTGTTTTTGCACTGTTTTATGTTGTTTTTAATACAAAAAATACATCTTTTTGTGCCAAGAAAAAATATGACTTATAGCTTGAAAAATTATTTTTTAAACTTTCAAAAACTCTTAAAAATTGCTAAAAAATTTGTTGTTTTTAGATGAATTATATTATAATATTGTCTGATTGTTGTTTCTGCTTTGTTTTGTGATGAAAATCGCTCAAAAAATTGTTGTTTTTGAGTTTTGACGAATCTCCCATTACGGAACCCGATTTTGAGCGGATCAATCTACCAAAGGAAAAAAAAGACACTGCAATAGAAAATCTCAAGAATTACTAAGGGTTAGAGTGAGATTATGAGAGAGACATCCTATTTATATTTTCTACTAAAATATCTTATGAAATTCACACTAATAGAAAAATACACTGGAATTTTCAGATTTTTAAATATCATAAAATTATTTTTTCTTTATTTAAAATTCTGATTGAATACCACTAGATTTGAAAGGACTCTAAAATAATCTTTTATAATCCTAATTGAATATCACATAAAAAAAATTTCAATCATTTAAAATTTTATTTGAATACCAATAATTTTTTTTTAATCTAAAATAAATCCATTGAAATTCTATACAATCGCAATCCAATATACCCCTAAAATTTATCCCTATAACAAACGCCGTAAGGGGAATTATTGGCAGGGGTACTAATTCTCAACTTTAAATCGAGGGAAGGGATTTCGTAAGAGAAGGGTCTAGAACTAACTAGTGGAGATTTGAGAATAAAAATATTGTGGAAGCACGTCAACGGGAACCGATAGACATAGAGAGAGAGAATTGAGAATCAGAAATCTGAATGGCGAGGGAACTCGAGAACAAAGCGAAAGAAGCATTCTTTGACGACGACTTCGCTGTTGCCGTTGATCTCTACTCTCAAGCCATCCACTTGGATCCCAACAACGCCGATCTCTTCGCCGATAGGGCCCAAGCCCATATCAAGCTCAACGCTTTCACTGGTCTGTGCTCTTTCTCTTTATATCATTCACTTTCTCGCACATTTTTATTTACCCTATCCATTCATTCATTCATTCATTCATATTTCCATGACCAGAAGCGGTTTCTGATGCAAACAAAGCTATTCAATTGAACCCGTCATTGTCAAAGGCCTATCTTCGTAAAGGGTATGCTGTTCATTCATATCTTATTATTATCAATTAGTATTATTATTATTATTATTTATTTTATTTTTATTATGTCCTTGTCTCCTGTTGTTCTCATAATTTTGGTCACGATTCAAGATTATGCTTCAATTGAATCAATGCATGATATACAGGACCGCTTGTATTAAGCTTGAAGAATATCACACTGCCAAGGTAGCACTACAAAATGGTGCCTCTCTTGCACAAGATGATTCAAGGTTCACCAAGTTGATTCAAGAATGTGATCGCTATATTGCAGGTGAGCAGATAGTCATATGCCTTTTCGAATATGTGCGTAATTCCTACTACAAAATCATCTATGGGCAGTGACTAATGAGTGAAATTGGCTGAATGCCAAAATCAGTTTAAGTGCATTAGCAAAAAATTCTTTTTCTATCGGGGCCAATCTCTAGCTCCATATTTTTTTCTCTCATGTAGGCAAGATGGAATTTTTTTTTTATTAAACTGATAAATATCAGATATTTGAAGTGATCATCATAGTACAAAATTCACACATTGATCTATGTGTGGCATAATGAGTGGTAAAAGCTAGAGTCGAACTGGCTAAATTAATAACTTGGTTATACAATCTTATATTGCACGCTGTAGAGATTGCTGGCATGGTTTCTTGCTTGCCTTTTGTCTGAATGTGTTTCTCATTTAATGCTTTGGTGGCCGAGCATGCAAGAAACATGTTGTCTCATGCCTCAATGTTTGAACTACCCCAATAAGTACCACACCTTTGTCGTCTGCAAATTTTTGTAAATCTTATGTTTTTACATTTTTGATTTTCTTCTTTCTCATTTGGGGTTGACACCTGTATGATATGTGGATGGTGTATCTTGTTTTGTCAGAGGAATCAAATGGTCTTAATAGCACCTTATCATCACGTGAGCCACCAACATCTGTACAGTCCGGTGACGGTTCCCAATTGAGTAATACAAGTAATGGGGCAACTAGCAAAGCTGAAAGAGACAGTTCTGTATCCGAAATCAATGAAATTGCACCAGTAACACCAAAATACAGGTTGTCACAATTTTTTCTTCTGTCTGTGCTGCTATTTCTTAACTTATTAAATTTTATAGTGCAAAGTTTAACTGGCATTATGACTGCTAACTTTCAGATATTTCTCTGAGGTAACTTGTTTCTGTCTTCTTATTTTATTTTTCCTGTTTTTCTTAAAAAAAACTCCCACAATTTCCCCTGAAGATGGATGATACTGGAAACAAGAACAATTTGTATGATAATTTATGATTATATAATCATATTAATAGGAGTTTTGGGAATAGAGTTTGAAGATGTGTGTGATAATGTAAATTTTTTTCACTGAATTATGGTTTTTTTAGTTTGTTTGTCTCTGTTATATCTATGTATAAGTCTTTGTATGTATGTTGAATTTGCTACCTCAACTGTATGGTGACCTGTTGATTGATGCTTGAGCAGACATGAATACTACCAGAAGCCAGAAGAAGTGGTTGTGACAATCTTTGCTAAAGGAATACCGGCAAAGAATGTGGTCGTTGACTTTGGTGAACAAATAGTATGTTTATATAATGGATACTTCCTTTTTAACCATTTACCCACCCTTGCTTGATTTCCTCATGTTTTACATGTATAACTCTCCAGATGTTTCTAGTAATTGTTTATTCACTAACTTGAAACTTCTACTTTAACACTGCAGCTGAGTGTTACTATTGATGTTCCTGGCCAAGATGCCTATAATTTTCAACCTCGATTGTTTGGAAAGGTAACTCATCTTATATCAAGAGTTCACTTCTTTGTGCTCGGTGCTGTACTATCTTCTTGAATATTGCATGTAATAGGCATCATTTTTTAACAATGCCGTGACAAAAAGATGCTGCTTTATCTACCTTGAGCTTTTATGCTTGCTTCACCATCATTTAGACATTGGATAATAGAATAAGCAAATCATTTTGTGTGGGAACTAGGTCTCTGCTCATTCCTCTTATTTTTCTTGCTCCTGTTTTGGTGCATTTCAATTATATAATTGAAATGGATTCATTTGGAATGAATTGGTTTGCGAGTCCTAGAACTTTGTTAATGAATTGAATTCTCAAATTAATATCATTCCAAACAAGCTTCATATGAGAATTTATTTGTGAATGAAATGAATTCTTTTATTTTGAACATTCCAAACTGGGTCGAGTAAGAATTTTATTTAATATATTTATCTTGTTGGCATTAGCAAGGCAGTTCATTGACTTTTTCTTTTCATGAATTCCTTTATTTTATGTATATATGATTCTGGGGAGATTGTTAATCAGGAGAGCCACTTTTTTTTTTTAATTTGAATGTTTGTATTGTTTTGTGCTTTGACAACTGAGATACTCAATTCAGTATTGATTGTAGATTTCTGAGAAATTAACCTTTCTTTCCTTTTGAACGAGCTAAACAGATAATACCTGATAAGTGCAGAGTTGTGGTCTTGTCAACCAAAGTTGAAATCCATCTTGCAAAAGCTGAAGCTATTAGTTGGACATCTCTGGAATATAACAAGGATACGCTTCCCCAAAAAATAAATATGCCAATAAGTGAGCTGATTACTTGTGTAGTTTATCCTTTTGTGACACCATTGGTAGTATGGTTTATTTGCCTTGATCTTCGTTATTGCTAATTAAATAAATAAAAATTTAATGCAGCATGCTATTGCTTTCCTGGTGAACTAACTCACAATGTGTATTTGTGCAGTTCAATCTGAAAGGCCTGCATATCCATCATCAAAGCCAAGGACAAGAGATTGGGATAAGTTGGAAGCTCTAGTGAAAAAAGAGGTTTCCCAGCTCTCTCTCTCTTTCTCTTTCTCTTTCTCTTTCTCTCTCTTTTTTTTTTTTTTTGGGTTTTGGTCCAACTAATTTCATAAACGCTCCTTCCCCATTGGTTTTAAATAATGCAATTAACTTCGTGTGCTTGTGTTTGTTCTTCCGCACATTGACAAGAATAGTTTCATGTCATGTTAGCATAATTGGCTAATTGTAGCGATGTCTTTGTTCATGTGGTTGTCTTTTACTGATGTGGATTACTTCCTGACGTGTGGCACAATCCCTTGCCTGCAACTAAAGTCCAAATCAATGGCAAGCCAATGGATTGGTGTAGTATTTGAATTAATTTGAAAATTGTATGACATGGTTATAATTGGAACACAGGTCCCAAATCAAATTTTGGTTAAACTAGAGTACTTAAAATGTGTCCTATTTAATATTTGATTATAACATAACATTAGAAGAGTTTGATACATCAAGAATCAACTGGATGTTTACATCATCATCTTGTGGAACATAATACTGTTTAAATAAAATTGACACATAGCGGTCTTCCTTTCAGGAGAAAGAAGAAAAACTAGATGGTGATGCTGCTTTGAATAAACTATTTCGTGATATTTACCAAAATGCAGATGAGGACATGAGGAGAGCAATGAGCAAGTCTTTTGTGAGAAATCCATCCATTATGTGCTTGTTTTGAAATTCTTGAGTATTAGTTCCCCCAATTGTACTTAATTTTCTTTGTAATCATTCATATTTTGTCCCTTTGCTTTCTTGAACTGTACTACTTTGCAGTTGGAGTCAAATGGAACAGTGCTGTCAACTGATTGGAAAGAAGTAGGATCAAAGAAGGTAGAAGGCAGTCCACCAGAAGGTATGGAGTTGAAGAAATGGGAGTATTGATCTAGTACCCAAATAGTCATATGAGCTGATGCTTCTTGTGAGAGTACAAATTCATTTAGCGTTTGGTATTTCCATTGCCATTTGTCTCCTCCTAACCCATGGGAAAGAAATTCTGTAATATCTATTACTTGTTATTAATACTCTGTTTGTTTAAGATAGATTACTTTGCGGGAGAATGACTTAAATTTGCATTTGCTGTGGAAGTGGATTTTATTTCGTTGGTATATTTTGATATAATTAATGGTAAACTTATGACGAAAGCCGGATTTTTAGTTTTATTTTCTGGAGAGTATTTGTGATTTATAGGTTGGAAAATTAAGTATGAAGATTTGCTAGTATTAGATGTTACCCTTTAAGCATAACATTCGAAATGTTTATTCTTTTTTCCGTTTTCCAATCACGTTAGCATCTTCGATTCTTTCACTGCCCGGTTATGGGGAATCTTGGGTAGAGCCAGTAACCTGTGACAGTGGTTTCAAAAAGATCATGATTTAAAGTGACTCCAGTAAGTTGTAAGTTCCCTCTTTAAAAGGGAACTCAACCAGAAGCCATAACCATAGATTGGTTCAGTGGATTCTCAACCAATCTATGATTTTTGGTCGAGTTCATATTAAGGAGGGAAATAAAGGTTTTTTTGGAGTGACTTTAAATGATGACCTTTTTTAAACGACTATCGTAAGTAACTGAGCTATCCAAGATTCCCCAATGACTCGGCAGTGAAGATGTCAATGTAATTGGAAGATCCTTTCACTTGGATTCCATTCTCGCCTTTAAATGAGGGGATAGGTTTTCTGGGAACTGCCAAGTCCGTCCTTCTCCTTCCTTTTCAAAGCAGGAAGAGGAGGAAGGACTCAGCTTTTGTATGCTAAGCTAGGGCAGAAGGAGAGTCAACCAATGTTACCCTGATCAATAACATAATGAGAAAACGCCAGGGAGATAGAAACACTGTTTCCGCTCTCAGATAGAGTGTTATTAAATTCGGATCCGTGGTTGGGTTAATGACAAATACTAATGAAAATTTTCACTTTCAATTCAATAAAAGCATATGAATGGTTTTATTAGAAGACAATGATCTAAATTTGGACCTTTTAAATCATAGAAGTTTTGAAGCCATGTCACAAATTAATTATTCCAAAAATTTAAATTGTTATATGAAGAGAGATAAATGATTATCTTATATCTTAACACATCCAAAGCAGGTCAAGCCATCCTCATCGTGACATCCACTACCCCTAAGCCCTTTTATAATAATAAATTTGATCAGTTTTACTTGTTCGATCAGGGAACTCTGAAGACTAAATTATAATCAATTAACAAATTCATAAATGTTTGTATATTTTGTTTATAACAAATAAACTCAATATAATTGCATCAAGCGAAAAAAAAAAAAAAAAAAAAGCTGCACATTATCAAGAAGACGACGCCGATCTATCAAGTACACGAGCTAATTGCTAGATAGCTAAAGTAGTTCGTACTTAATGTAAAAAACAAAGCTACATTTGATAGTTTGACAAAAATAAAGCAAAAATTAAGATTTCTTAACCACTATATTTTTTAAGTGTATAGACAAATGTAGAAAAACAATAATCATAAAAATTATAAACATGAGAATAAAATTAAAATGAAATTACCATTCCCATTTATTTAAAAAAACCATTTTATTTTAGTTGGATATTTAATTTTGGACATTGGCACAATAAATTCGTCGTCCTTTATTTTTTTTCCCGTTTCTGTTACTAAATTATTCTTAATATAACACTTCATCTTTGCCATATATTTCATACATCACACAATATAATGGAGGTTCAAATCTTCTTCTTCAAAACATAATATTCAAATCTAGGAGGTGTAATGAATTGGGTTAGGGCAAACTTTGGTCTAAATAAAGCAAGGCTATAAAATATATTTTGAACGTATTCTGACTTAACTCATTAGTCTTATATGGGTTAAAGTATAGGTATCATATGACGTATAAACCTATTAGACTTAAGTCTATTAGACCACCAATACCTATTAAGAATTAGGATATAAATAAAATAATATTGTTTTTTTTTTTCAGAAAAAATAATATTGTTTTATTAATTAAAATATTTTAATAATTATTTTAATTTAATTTAATTAAAATATATCATACGAAAAATAATGACTTATAAGCTTATCAGTCTTGTAAAAGTAAATCTGTGACTTGTTTTTTAAATATGTCTTTATAAGATTTGAAATTATTCTATTTTATTGAATATATTACGTCAAATTTAATCAAATGTAAGGTGGGTGATAGGTCTTTGATATGTCACATCACTTTTCTTATGTTAAGAATTACAAAGTTAAATATATACAATAAAAACCTCTTAAAATATGACTGACTACTCAAAGGGGTGGCAAAACATTTCAGCGGATTGGGTTTGTGTATGTCAAGTCTGACTTACAAGTTAACATGTCCAACTCAACTCAAACACGACACATTTTTATTCACAGGTCAAAAATTAAAACTCGGACACGATCCGCCACGAGTCATGTGGGTAGACTCGCAAAAATAAAATAAAAATTTGGTCTTTTTCCAAATAAAATTAAAAATAAAAGGAAAAATGTTAATAAAATATGCGAATAGACTCATGACTCACAACTGGGTATGTCAAAATCACCAAAATTTTAATTTTTTTTTTAATTTTTGACAAAAAAAAAAGTTGCAGGTTGACACACAAGTTAACTCATGACACGATGTAATATTAATTCATGTCATTTACCTAACTCGTACATAACCCAGATTTTTACGTGTCATGCCACGGGTCGACCCGTGAGTCATGACATGTTTTGTCACCCCTACCTACCCATAGCCCAACGAACAAAGTACATTCAATAATATGCTTTAAAAGACTAAAGACCTACTCATTCAATGACTTTGACACCAAATATTCTCAAAAGAGGAAAATATTTTCGATATTACAATGTTTCGAATACTCAGTATATTTTTTTACCACTCGATACATTTTTTACCAAATATAAAAAAAAATAACACATTTATACTACCTCTACCTTTATAGTTATTTCCTTCCATATCCTCTTTTTTCTATTTTAGGAAAGAAAATACCTACTCTCGTGCATTTGCTCCCAAAAAAAAATACTGTACTCTCAAGTTGGATTAAAGGGAAAATAAAATTACATACATTATTTAGTGGTGTCAACTTAAATCTAACATACCAACAATATGAACACGGCACAGAATTTGTATTCATGTGTATCATGTTTGTGTTGATTAAACATTGACATAGAAAAAATGGTCATATTAATGGTAATCATATTTGTATTGACAGGCAATTAATCTATTTATTATAATTTATAATTATAGATTTTCCCCACTTTTATTTATGAATTTAAGGTTATTTACATAGTTGTTACTCAAAAAGTAAAATTAAGAGGTTATTTGTGTTCGTATCATATTATTTCGTGTAAGAAACGAGTCATGTTAGTGTCAACGGTTTCAACACGAACAATCATTTGTAATGTATTCAAATTGAGATTATTATTTTTTTGTTGTGTCGAATTTGCATGTATTCAAACACGATTGCCAACTCGAATTGCTACATGAAATGACATAATTAGTTTTCAATAAAATATACGCCTCAAGCAAGATAAACATTCTACACCATGATAATTCAACTCTCCATATTGATAAATAAGATTTCAAAAGATTTCTTTTCCCTTTCAACAACATTCTGTGGTGAACGAAATTAACACAAAACGCGTGTCTGGTTATAGTAAAAATAGCTCAAAGGAACATGTTCTTGTATGTCTACATATACTGCAAATAGATAACTAGTATTTATTTACAGCCTCAGCTCAGAAGACATTGACGTGCAGCACTCGGAAATTTTCCAAGCATGTGCAAGGAGAGCCTTCCTGAAATATTATGTGCTCGAAGAATTATGAGCATTTCTGAGGTTCCCAATAAGCACATCTAGTTGGGGTGACACACTGGTTGGTCGGACTGGTTGTGGACCTTGTGGCCTTGAATTTGAACTTCGAACTGGTGGTTGTGTTGGCGCAATAATTCGCTGCCTAACATCATCTGAAAACTGCCGACCTGAAAGGCTTCCACGCATTCGTTGAGTAGGACGCCAATTCTGCTCTGATTGCAAATTGATTAATTCATCAGGCCTAGAAACTGACTGCACCGTTCCTCCCAGATTTCCTTTTTGCTCTCCTGTTAATCCCCGTGTGGCTGCTACGGAAGCTTGATTTTGAACTGAAACGGATGGTGACTGTCTGGCAAGCTGGGCAGCAGCCATACCCCTAGCTTGTTGGCTATTTGCAGTAGCTCCAGCTGCCTGAAAAATCCCAGCTTGAGTACTTCCTTGTCTGGCAACCTGCACAGCGGGCATAACCCTGGCTTGTTGACTATTCGCAGTGGCTCCAGCTGCCTGAACAATCCCAGCTTGAGTACTTCCTTGCCTGGCAACCTGCGGAGTGGCTATAACCCTAGCTTGTTGACTATTTGCAGTGGCTCCAGCTGCCTGAACAATCCCAGCTTGAGTACTTCCTTGCCTGGCAACCTGCGGAGTGGCTATAACCCTAGCTTGTTGACTATTTGCAGTGGCTCCAGCTGCCTGAACAATCCCAGGCTGAGAACTACGCTGCTGGATGTGGGACCGTGGGGTATTTGATGATCGCATAGGATGCGCTGACCGTGGATTCAGAGCTTGCTGAAGGTGAGAATTTCTATATTCAGCAAACAAACCAGATGCTCTGTATTGGTTTTGCATTTGACTTGCTGCTGATATATTAACTGGTGGCACTCGGCTCTGAGTTCAATGAAAAGTAAAACATGAGTAAAAGAGTCATAAACACTAACGCATACAAAAGTGAGGTTAAACTTAATTAATAGATGAAACATTACAGGCATCAATGACTATTACAATATGAGAAATGAAGAATCAAAGACCAGTTCATCAAGTATAATTAATGCTGAAAGATAGCTAGAGAAAGACTGCAATGAAAATAGGACCCTAGTTCTATAATTTCTTTGAAAAGATAAATTAATGTTACAAATTCATTCTTTCTTGAAACCTACTTTCTGATGGCAAGTTTTGGAGCAATGGTAAGGTTGTTCTTTGTGACCAGAAGATTATGTATCGAGTCTGAAAAACAGTCTCTTTGCAAAAATACAAGAGTAAGCTTGCGTACAATCGACACTCACCCCTACCCCACAAGTCGGAGAGCCTAGTGCACTAGGAGGATTGCCCATGAAACCTAATTTATGATTTCCCACAGACCATTTTGGATATAAAAAACATTAAATCGGTTAATCCTAAAATGATTTTTCAAACAAAATTCAAGTTCATAGCATTTTTCTTTCATGTATGAGCGCGACTCAGTTGTCATTTTTTCCCTTAAAAGAAAGCACAGCATATCCACACTGAAAAAAGTCAAGGAACAACAAGAAGTTGTCATCTGAAGTGGGGATCAAACAGAAGTCCAGGGGAGCTACCAAGAGAAAATTGTTTACTATGCATCCACAAAACTGTGCGCCCAATAAAAGGAGTAATAATAGAACACTAATAAATCAAACCTGTGTTGCTGAGTGATGCTGCAATGTAGATGAATTTACACCCGAGACCTGAGGCACATTCATTGGGGATCTAGAAAAGTGTTGCTGTCTTTCCGCATCACTCAATATGGCATTGAGACCATCTGCAGAGGCTGGGTTAGACAATGAAATGTGAGGAGTAGCAGAACTACTGCTGGGTAGCAAGGAACACAAATTAGTTACTGAATTTTGCTGTGGTCTCAATGCCTGAGATTGGACTGGGAGGGCCTGAACAGCTACTGGAGTCCTATTAATATGTCTTGGTACTGAAGATGACCTCCCATACTCGTTAACAATTGAATTCATGTTCAACTGCAGCTGCAAATTATTTAGTGCAGAATATTGATTATGCACAGCAGAGTTAGCAGCAAGGTTATTGTCATGACCCTCAGCTTCCGGATGAAATGCAGGAGAAACAGTATCAGGCTGAACGGGACACTCAGAGACACCAACTGTCGGGGTATCAGACCTACCACTGGGAAGGAAAACTCCAGACCAAAATTCATCTTCTATTAGAGCAGTAACACTTTGATTAACACCAGTACAGTTCATCCCCAAGAAAGGTTTTCTATCTGCAGTTTCACAGGTGTCCATTATCTCCAAGTAATCATCATCGTTGGTGAGGTCCAAAACATTGGGAACAGTACTAGGAGAGCAAGTAGATTCTTGCAGTTCAGTCTGTTCCTTTTCACAATTGCGGCCCTTGTTCTGCATCTTATCCACATCCCGATCATTTTCCAAGACTGCCTTCCACGATCCATTAGCAAAAACAATCACTTCCACAATGTTCTCACCAACATTTTTCAGGATCTGTATTTAAAAAAAAAAGAGGTTTATTTTTCTTTTCCTTTTCAACCTTCCCTTTATCCCTACGATCAATTTGGTGTACCCTCTAAAAATGCCAGGGGAGGGGAGGGATGAGAATAATTAAAAAAAAAAAATCAATCCCCACTAAACGCCAACTAGTGAGGGTAAGGGTGAGGGAAATACTTGTACAAATTGGAACCCGTGACCTTTTAGTCACAAGAGCAGCTTTATCACTGCTCCAGGCTCACCTTTTAAGGATGAGATAAATATGAAAAACTAATCACCAAAACTTACACTCCCAATTTTAAGGTGATACCAAACTGACTTTGGGGTGAGATGAGAAACAGAAGGTAACTCAATTGAAGGATTAAACTACTAAATCAACTTGCCTCAACCATGTTTCGGTCAAGATGAATATCCACATAGCAGACATACTGATTGCAATGAGGACAGCGCCATGATGGCCTCCTTGAATTTATTTTAATGAAATTGTCAAAGTCAAAACACTGCAGAAAAGAGACGATAGAAATACGTGAGGAAGAGGGAAACAAACAAACAGAGAATATATAAACACATTAACCACACCCACAGACGCAGACCAAGAGCTATGAACCACATCATAGAATTTTCACTTTATCATAAGGTATTATCTTACCGTCATTTAAGCAAGATTTAGTAATTTTTAACTTTAGTTGTGCAAACTAAAACATTACAAACCATACACCAGAGAATGGCATAATTTGGAGCGAAAAATTACTTTCTTGCATACAATAGACTTCTAAAGCCACATTTGCTACTTATGGTAAGCAACACATATACTGAATCAGCAACCACCCTCAGATTCTCCGTATTATGTGATGCTAATACAGGAATCACTCACCTGGAAATGTTTGCATAAACGCCCTTTAACAGGAGTCTTGATACGTGTAAAGCTGTTTTATAAAGATGAGACACAAAGGATTATCAACATTTATCAAAAACAATGTTAAAGGAACAGAAGGATTATCATCAAAAAAGTGAAAACCAATACTTTAAGGATTATTGAATAAATGATCTTAGCATAACCTGCATAGTAAAGCATTCCATTGAAAGTAAGAAAATAATAAGCTACCAAATAAACATAACAGAAGCCTGCAGAACAATAATACTTTCAAGATTATTGTTAATGGTTTAACGCTAAAAATTGGTACTAAAATTACTAGAGGGGTTCGATACTGTAGTTAACAACTTATTTGTCCAATTAGCTTGCTGCTCACAGAAGGCATAAATGAAGGTCCAAGAACTAATACCAATTACCAAGCAGGAGGAGCCATATACATATACATAAGAGACACATAGCAGATCAAAAATCTTCTAAAACTAATACATGTGTAAAGGTCTCATTCTCAGCATTCGACAATAAGGTAGCAGCGGACAAAAAAGAAGGCCAGGGTTAGAAAGTGTTACGGCTCTGGATTCTTCTGAGATTGATATTTGCAGAATAGAAAGGAAGAATGAAAGAAAAATGGAGATTGAAGGAATGAATATCTGTTTATTGATGAAAAGAATAAAAGAACGACAAGAGACACTTGTCAAGGGACACTCCCCTTGTAAATGAGCTTTCTCAACCAATATTCAGAAAAATACCATTTTGTCCAATAAGAGGACAACACCTCCCTTTTATACAAACTATACCAACACACCTAACTAACTAACCACCTCCCAACTAATTTTCTAATCAATGGGTATATTCTTTGGGGAGGAATATCCTTCCCTTCCCAATACAAATCATATCAATACCATCCCCCAATGAAACAACCTCGTCCTCAAGGTTTGAAGTCCCAAAACTAATACAAAAATGTATGCAGATACTATAGGGATGCATCCCCAATCAGTGGTGTTGCCACTGAAATAGAAGCTGAGCTACCAGCTCTCTCTCTCTCTGTAGCACTGTATCTCTCTTTGCAGCACTGTGTGTGTACCCCCAATCAATGGTATTGCCACTGAAATAGAAGCCGAGCTACAAGCTCTCTCTCGGTAGCACCGTATCTCTCTTTGTAGCACCATGTGTGTCCCTAGTGTTGGGGCATAAAAATGATGCACAGTCTCCACGTGTAAACACTTCTTCGAGGATGCCCTTTTGCTAGATCAAGGCCCACCATAGTTTCTCCAACATTATTATCAATATAACCAAGGAGAGGCGGATACGCAGGAAACACAACTAGCTGCTGCGAATTTGATGCCCAGGATGACTTCTGATTTGCTTGTGTCTTTGCAAGAGAACAGTCCAAAGCTTTGGCCCCTAATTTTATACTTGACCCTTCAACAAAGTATGCAAAACCAAATCTGTTTTCTTCTTGTCCAACTCCAGCAGTATTGAAATCATGTGAGATTATGATATCTCCTCTAGTATCACTAAAAATTCCTTCTATCATAATTGTGGCACATTTTATATCCCGAACAATGTGGGTAATGAAGATATTTGTGATTTTGTGTCCACAAAATTTAGTAACCACTGTCATGATGACTCTTCGTACATGTCAAGGTCGAGTTGCTCTTTAGCCTTTAGAGCTTCCTCCCGCTCTTCATTGAACAAGGTAGCATAAGGATCTAATTTCCTGTCCTTGTATTTTCCAAGAATATGAAGCATCGCTGGGGAGGAAACACCATGGCCTTGGTGCTAATGTCGCTCAAGGTTTAGGTTAGGACGGCTTTGCTTCTTCCTTTGTTGGCCATTAGGATTGAGACGATAATGACTTTTGTGATTTTGATATTGCATAATAACTACGACATGGCGTAGAGTCGCAGGATTGAGACGATAATGACTTTTGTGATTTTGATATTGCATAATAACTACGACATGGCGTAGAGTGGCTCAACTATTCCATCTTTCCGATGTTTCAACTTACCAACATAATCCAAGGAAGCGACACCCACTATGGGTTGGAACGCTCCCGTCGTATAGGGTCCAATTCGGCCCAGTTGGAGAACCCACAAGTGACGCCATAAAGGTTTGTCATATTTGCTATTACCCATAAGTTTCCCTATTTCCCAACTTTCTTCACCCTACCCCTTACTAACCTTATATTGGGCTTGGCCCATTAGTAGCGATTTCAGACCTGCTTTACAGCATGAGTCCTACTCTTCCGTTTCGACCTCGTCTTTCAATAATATTCCCATGCATAACCGGTAGTGCTCAACTAAAAGTGAACCCCAATCCTATGCATGTGGACTCAACTTCGGCAATTTCAATAGTGGTAGGATTGCTAATGGATCACGTAAAATTCCTATCCCCATGGCTAATGTTGCTGATTTCATTTTTCTTTGCACCGCCACTGTATTATCAAGACAGCCATCCGGGATCGGCAATGGAGGCTTGACCAACTATTCCAAAAGCTTAAATTGTTAGATAAACACAATGCATATCTACATGTTCCCCAACTTTCTACCAATCTCCTTTCTACTCATAAGCTCACTACAGATTTGAATTGCAGTGTAACCTTTTTCCCTACTCATTGTGTTTTTCAGGATCTCACCACGGGGAAGACGATTGGAGTTGCTAAGGAGCAGGGTGGGTTGTATTATCTGGTTCCAGACTTTGCTGCAGAAAGTACTAGGGATCAGACTTTGATGACTCGTTAGTCTACTCTGGATTCTCTTATTTGGCTTCATCACAAGCGCTTAGGTCATCCTCCGTTTAGTTTACTTAAGTCTATGTTTCCTCTTTGTTTGTGTCTCAGTCTGTTGAGTCTTTTAATTGTGATGTCTGTCAGTTTGCAAAACATTATCGTATATCATTGAAACCCAGTTTGGTAAAAGTATCATACGCTTGAGATCAGATAATGGTACAAAATATGTTAATTAGCATCTTTTCCAGTTTATTAAAGACAACGGAATGACTCATGAATTCACATGTGTGGATACCCTATGAAGCACCGACTCCGACACGGCGTTTTCGATATGTTCTAAATACGTTCTCGATACGACCATTAAGTCGTCGATACTATACAATACGTTTCTGATACGTTCCCGATACATGTATCGGATACGTTGGAAAAAAAAATTCGGAGTATCGGTGCTTCATAGTGGATACCCCTCAACATAATGAGGTTGCTGAAAGGAAAAAACGACATTTGCTTGAAGTCACCAGAGCATTGTTGTTTCAGACATCTGTACCCAACTCTTAATAGGGAGAAGCTGTATTAACTGCAACTTATTTGATCAACCATTTACCCTCCTGAATCCTTGGCCATGTAAGTCATGTTGATCTCATGACTTCTTTTTTTCTTTCTATTCCAATTATGCAGAGTCTACAGTCTCGTGTCTTTGGATGTGTTGCCTTTGTCCATGTCCATAAACAGCATCGGAGTAAATTAGAACCTAGAGCCATTAAGTGTGTCTTCCTTGGTTATGCTCCCAACAAGAAAAGATACAAATGTTACCACCCTCCAAGTCGTAAATTCTTTCTCTATGGATGTTATCTTTGATGAATTTGAGTCCTACTTTCAACACCCTCAGCTTCAGGGGGAGAACAGTATAGAAGTTTCATCCATTTTCTCTGAGTCTGAGTCTCCTTTTCTGTTGCCTACACCTATTACCCAAGTTGAGAAGGAAGACTTCGTTGCTGAGACTGAAAATAGATCTGATTCCTCATGTGACATGTCTCCTATTGATTGACAAAGAGTACGCAAAGCTGGGACACCTGAACTGGTGTATCAAAGGAAGAAACAACTCACATTGTTCCACCAGCAACTGCAATCGCCTGAACCGCTGGTAAGTACTGAATACACTACTTCTTTTATTCCTGAGCCTGATATTAATTCTAATGACTTACCCATTGGCCATTGCTGTAAGGAAAGGGAAAAGGTCTTGTACCCAACACCCTATTTCTCATTTTGTCTCTAAGAATCTCTCTATGCAACATAGAAGTTTTATTACAGCACTTGACTCAATTTCAATCCCGAAATCAGTACATGAAGCATTAAAGGATGATAATTGGGTTCAAGCCATGCATGACGAGATGAATGCGTTGGAGAAGAATAATACATGGGAAGTTGTTGACAGGCCAAATGGAAAAAGGGTAGTAGGGTGCAGATGGGTGTATACTCCAAAGTATAATTCTGATGAGACTCTTGAGAGATATAAAGCTCGACTGGTAGCCCAGGGGATCACAGAGACCTATGGTATTGACTACGAAGAAACGTCTGCTGCAGTGGCCAAAATGAATACTTTAAGAATTTTATTATCTCTTGCTGCTCATTTTAATTGGGATTTGAAACAATTTGATGTGAAAAATACCTTCCTCAATGGCGAATTAGAAGAAAAGGTTTACATGGAGATCCCACCAAGATTTAACTCTACAAAAAAGGATATAATAAAGTTTGCAGATTGAAGAAGCCGTTGTATGGCTTGAACAATCCCTGCATGCTTGGTTTGGAAGATTTACCAAAGTTATACTTTCAATGGGATACAAGCAAAGTCAAGGAGATCATATCTTTTTCTTTAAACATTCTCAGGAAGGTAAGACCACTATCCTTCTAGTTTATGTTGACGATATGATTATAACAGGGGAAGATATAGATGAGAAATATGTTCTGAGAAAAAGACTGACTGCTGAATTTGAAGTTGAAGATCTTGGAAACCTAAGATATTTTCTTGGGATAGAAGTTGCTCATTCAAAACAAGGCATTTTTATTTGTCAACGGAAGTATGTTCTCGACCTCCTTAAAGAAGGAGAAAAACTCAGGTGCAAATCTTCCAGTACTCCGATTGAGCAGAATCACAGACTAGGAAGTGAAAATGAGAGCCCTCCAGTTGACAAAGGACAATATTAATGAATAGTTGAAAGATTGATATATCTAACTCATACTAGACCTAACCTAGCTTATGGAGTTAGTATTGTTAGTCAATTCATGCATGATCCAAGGGAGAAACACTTGCGAGTTGTGGACAGGATTCTCCAATACCTGAAAGGCACACCAGGCAGAGGACTATTGTTCCAGAGAGAAGGAAACCTCTCCTTAGAGGTATATACAGATGCCGATTATGCTGGATCTATGAATGACTGACGGTCTACTTCGGGCTATTGTATGTTTCTCTGTGAAAATTTAATAATATGGAGAAGTAAAAAGCAAAATGTGGTTGCTAGATCAAGTGCAAAAGCGGAATTTCGGGCCATGACTCAAGGGATCTGAGAGTTATTGTGGTTGAAAATCATTCTTGATGATCTCAAAGTGAGATGCGAAGGATCTATGAAGTTACTCTGTGATAACAAGTCAACTATCTGTATAGCCCACAATCCAGTCCAACACGATCAAACCAAACATATTGAGATTGATCGTCACTTCATCAAAGAGAAACTAGTGGCTTGATTACTACTCCATATATAGGTTTCAAGAGCTTACTAGCAAACTGGGAATGATAAATATCCATTCCTCAGCTTGAGAGGGAGTGTTGTAAATATTAGAATTTTATTCATTTATTTGTATTAGCTAGAATACTCTACAAGTGTATTTTGGGCTTAGCCCATTAGGCCTTTCAGTTTCTTTAAATAGATAACTCTTGTACAGATATTATACAGTTCAATAATATACAATTCAAGTCTTTTTTATTAGAAGAATGGAAGCGGCAAGGACTTATCTATAGACCATCTCGCAAACCAATATTCCCAAAAGCTTAAACTATTAGGGAAGGACACATGAATGGTTTGAATTACATTTCTAACATGCCCTCTCACTCAAGAGCTCTTAAGGCTCAAAGCGTGAATAATGCACAAGCCCAAAAGAGTAATATGTCAAAAGTCGAATATAATATAAATAATGTTACTGGTATAAAAAATCATTCATTTGCCACTTTACCATTTACCAATCACGTGTCTTCACCTAATAACTTGAGCTTTAGGGAGAGTTTCTTCATGACATATTACATCTCTAACAACTATAAAAATTAAGACTAGAAATAAGCTAGCTAAAGTGGACTTCAACATGGTACAGCTGACTTTCTACAATGAACACATAAAGCTAGAGTAGTTCTAACTAAAATTTCAACACAAACGTACCCAAAGGACTCTGAAAAGGAAACTACGTTTGACCAAAACATTATTAAACCATCAATATGTAAATCGTGAACAGATACAAAGCATAAGAGCATGAATCACTAACTTTCTCATTCTTCAAGTTCAAGGTCAGTCAGGGGCAATATTTTGGATGGACCAGATCTAGAGAGAGTAAAAGACTAAAATGGATCCCAAATAAAAATGACAATCTATGGTACTAATATGCCCAATCTGAAGATGAGAAAACAAGCCACAGATAAAACAAAGGAAGTGAGAAAGAAACAGTAGTCAGTGTTATGAACAAAGAAGATCATAGCATACCTTATGGGACAATTAAGTGAAATTTGCGATGGCCCCTCAATAATATCTGAATCCAATAACATATATAAAAGAAAAGAATCATGCCCTAGAATTTACCAATCAAAATGGAAAAAAGATAACATGAATTATGAATGTTGGACTAACAAGAATAAGATGTAGAATTTTTTTTATGGAACAGTTTATCCTAAGTATCCAAATTATACCTGAATCAATTGAGGTAACAACAGGATGAACATAATCTTGGAGAAGTGGATGCTCAAGCAAGGATGTGGCACTCATATAGGCAACAAGTATAACATAATTACCTTCACAATGATAATGATTACAGTACGGTAAGATGCATACATTGAAAGCAAGGATAATAGGAAAGAAAACACTAGTTTTAAATGCTCACCATTGAACTGGCCCACAGCTTGAAGAAGATTTGTCCCATATTTAAGCATACCAGTCACATTAGTTGGCATCTGTGGTCCAGAGTCCTGAGAAACAAAATGACATAGATAAGAAACTGCTGTCACGCCCTTGAAAACTTACAAACATCAAAAGTTTTAGAATGTATCTTTAAACATACAAACAGACCATTTGAACATTAATCCTTTTCTCTACTCCTTTTCCATTGAGAAGAAAACTACAACAGATGCAAAAAAAGTCAATCAGCATCAATGTGGAACCCCTGCACTTAATTAAAATAAGGAGTTAAAAGCAACCATACTTCACTTGCTGAGGACTTATGAGGCATGCAGATGTCTCAATGTTATCAGTTTGTGCCACCAATAAGTGCTGCAAATTGAAATATGCAACTATGCATTACAAATTAGATGTACAAAAGCCAAAACAAAAACCAAATAAAGACAAAGATTAAGAGGTGTGTTCAAATCAACATCAACATTAAAAATACCTGTATCCCAAACTAGTTGAGGTCAGCAATGTATGAACCCAATTAAAAAGCAATAAAGATTGAGGAAATGGGGGGAAAATAATAAAAATGATAGTAAATAAAATAAAAATAAGAGAAAATAGTAAATTAGAGAGAAAGATAAATACATAAATATAAGGAACAAGAACTAAAAAGGGTCGTTTGGAACATAGGAAAAAACGAAGCTATCCCACCACGCAACAAATAGCTTTACTACACCCCAAAAGTAGAGGGATTCACAGGTTCAGATTTGCATCAAGTTTTGAAAAGTTAGGATACTTGAAATATACCTACACTTAATAAGAATAATTAAAATGAACTAGACAAGTCATTTATATACAAAAAGAAAGCAACAGTTTCAGACTTTTTTGGTAGAGAATGAGTTTAGAACTTTGATGATGTATCATGCTTACAAAAACAAGTCATTTCAAGGGATTCTTACAATTTTATCTTGCAGATGTTCACTCTTTGCAATATTAAAGTCAACAACAGAAGCTCCATATCCAGGCTGCATTGCATGTAAAATAATATTAAATGTGTTCTCAAAATGAAATAAGACCAGATTTGACAAGGCACAAGGAACCACCTTGGCTTCAACTGATGCAATTATTGGACCCAATGTCATTGTTGGATAGAACCTGCATGGAATCCACATATAGGCAAATTATTACTATAGCATAACAGATCAAGTGAGACATCATCTCAATTCAAATGCATTATTTCTTACAGGTCCTTTGGTCTGTTTAAGTTTTTGACACTTATCTTAAGTGATAGTTGCGAGTTACATAAAAACACAAAGCAAAATAAAGTTGTTTATTTCAAAAATAAAAGAAAAGATGTAAGAGATGATATGCAGAGGACGTTCCGAGGACCCATACCTCTCCATTATGGTTGTTATTGTGGAATGGCAAGAACTAGGTCCAGCATTTAGATTACCCGTGCTGCCGTAGATCTTTCCCATCTACACTGATAATGATGATTGTCAGAAACATACAGATGACAACACACGACATAGTAAAAAAAAAGCTAGCATATAGCAAACCTTATCAGCAATAGTAAGAAGTTCTTCTGACTCTTTTGTCTGGAACCATCCAACTTTACAGGCATTCTACAATAACAAATAGTGTAAGTACGAAATTCACAACTTTATAAATGTCAAGGTGCATGACTTCCAGATGTTTTTAGAGAAACAAATTACAGATAAACACGGAAAAGCTAGTGTAAATCCAAAGTTATCTCTATTTGGCCTAAGTGATATAGAATAGAAATTTAATTTGTAACATGTAATAGCTAAAAAATTTCAAGAACTGGAAAGCAAACAGAATCTGAGATCTATATAAACTTCATGAAATTAATAGCTTAAACAAATTATACTCCAAAATATGCCTCAAGACTGATTAATCATTCTTCTAACCAAAATTCAAAAACAGAATGAGAAACTAATGGAAAAAGTTATTAATCAGCAACAACATGGAAAAAATAACTTACCTTTACAGAGATCATCAAAACCATTAAAGCTGCGTGTAAATATTCATCATGACTTTGTTGACAAATCTGCATGCAAAAGTAAAGGAGGCCTCTAACCTACACGCATAGCAATTAAGAAAATACGACATAACCGGAAAAAAAAAAAGGAAAAAATGAAGAAGTGGCATCCATGAAATGAAATGGAAATCACCTGTTTCATCAATTCAGGCATAACTTGAGCTCTGTTCGGAATTTCACCATGGGAAAGTGCATAATCAATACCCCTGTTTGTCAAAGTAAATCTAGTAAAAAACACAGCATATTTGTAGCATCATCATTAATAAGAAATCATCAATAAACAATGATTTCATCCAAACTTTGATATGTCATTCCTTGAGTGGTTTATTTAATTATACTGATAATGAATTTTCACTGCTATCTTGAGGTCAAAAGTTAGAACTCGAGATTCAAAATTGATGGTAAATCATGTACTACTAGGGCAAGGATGTGCATAACAAAAGTGAAGACACACAACTGATCTCGAGTTTGAATTTTTCCCTACTCGTTCTCTAAATCCAATACTTCAAAATTCGAACTCCACACACTCAAATTTCAGTTTAAGACCTCACAAAAACCAAAAGACAAGAACATAACCAATCTGCCATAAAAAATAACCTAAAATCGGAGGAGATGAGAAGAATCAAACAATTAGAAAGAAAAGGTACCGAGAGAGGGAGAGGCAGTCGCCACGAATATCCTGATTGTCAAGTTGGTTGCCAGGTTTCAGCAAACGATCCATAACTGTGTTGATTCTCCTCGCGTTCAAAACCGATGCCAGTGTTGGGTTTCCGGTTCCATTGAACATGCCCCAGTCCGGTGGCTGTCCCGCCGCCGACCAAGCGTTCATTTACACTGCTTCGTCTGGTTTTGGGGTACTGCCAATAGAGGAACAAAATGGCTCCGGCGTTTCCTTTCCCACGCTTTTCAATTTTCGTTCTGTTGGCCAAGCCTAAATTCTACTTCAAATATAAAAGTTAAAATAAACTTCTTCCGGACTTTTGCCCTCCGCGTATACAAAAAGGAAAAAGTGTGCGAGATATATCAAGTTATGTCATTTTAAACCAGAGTTTATAAAAAAGAGAAAAAAAAAAATGTGTATCATTTTGAGAGATATAAAATTGTATCATTTTAAGTGAGAGAAAGAGATAAATTATGCGAAAGAAAATGAATGGAAAAATTTTAAAAAAATGTGAATTCCATTATAAAAGTGAAATAATATAAGAGTTGTAATTTAAAATTAAACACCTTTTTCCCATGATTCAAAGGATCTCAGTTATTTGTTTGAGGGGTTTAAATTAGATACCGTAGGAAATTACTATTGATATTGCGAAAAGATAACATAAAAATCTTGCATGTCCATTATAATGGCGGGACCCATATTACAAATGAAAATAGCACCACTTTTTTCAATGGACAACTTAAGGACGCTAACTTTAACTCAATTGACAAATTACTAATTTTTTTTTTCGAATTTGAGTAATTAATTTATTGAGTAGATGACATTGAACATAAACAAATGGATAAATTAAATAAAATTAAGTGGTCTTTTTTTAATTTTAACAATTGATGAAAATATCTATATATATATATATATATATATATATAAAGGAGAGTTCATGCTGGAAAGTTTTGCCAAGTGTGACTCCCTCGTTAATTCTACAATTTGGTTATATACAAACTTTTCTTATTGGGTAAATTGGAAAAAAAAACTCTTTTAAAAATTGTATTTTAATTTTTAAATCGAATAATAGTTGCATACAAGGCATTGAATGTCCCACTACCCATCACATTGGTATTCAAAAAAAATCAGCTGTTTTAATTGCTTTTTATGTTGGAATTGGTCATCTCATCTGAAATTCGAAATTTTAAATGGTTTATCAATTAAATTTCGAAATTATGTATTTATTTTGCACAATCTGAAATTTGAAATTTTAAATTCAATAAAAAGAAAACTCTTTTCACGGACATGCATTCACGATCTCTATTCATGGAGATCAATAGAAACAAAAACAAATTTCACAATTGTTGAAGACCTGATTGTCATTCGATTCACAATTTCGTTATGGTTATTTTTTAAAAATTATATATACAATAATGATATAACAAAGACATTATCTTTGTTATATAGACATTATCTTTGTTATATATTTGATTCAAATATCATAACAATCAAGTATCAAGAGAGCTGACAGACAAAATAAATTAAATCCAAAAACCAAAACTATCATATCAGATAAACTATCATACCAATATTCTTTTAAAAATTGAATTTTCGAAATTTTAAATGGTTTATCAATTAAATTTCGAAATTATGTATTTATTTTGCACAATCTGAAATTCGAAATTTTAAATTCAATAAAAAGAAAACTCTATCAGATAAACTATCATACCAATATTCTTTTTTTTTCGAAATTTTTAAATGGTTTATCAATTAAATTTCGAAATTATGTATTTATTTTGCACAATTTGAAATTCGAAATTTTAAATTCAATAAAAAGAAAACTCTTTTCACGGACATGCATTCACGATTTCTATTCATGGAGATCAATAGAAACAAAAATAAATTTCACAATTATTGAAGACCTGATCGCCATTCAATTCACAATTTCGTTATGGTTATTTTTTTTAAAATACATACACAATAATGATATAACAAAGACATTATCTTTGTTATATAATTGATTCAAATATCATAACAATCAAGAATCAAGAGAGCTGACAGACAAAATAAATTAGATAATCAGGTGTTTTAATTGCTTTTTATGTTGGAATTGGTCGTGTGATCTGAAATTCGAAATTTGAAATGGTTTAAAATTTTGAATTTAAATATAGATGGTGGGAAAAGAATTTCTTTTAAAAATCGAATTTTAATTTTGTAATTGAATAATTAAATGACCGTTTGTGGTGGCAGACATAAAAGAATAATTAATTAATAAATATGGTTTTTAAATTCGAAATTTTAATTGGATAATCAAGTGTTTTAATTGCTTTTTATGTTGGAATTGGTCGTCTGATTTGAAATTCGAAATTTGAAATGGTTTAAAATTTTGAATTTAAATATGGATGGTGGGAAAAGAAATTATTTTAAAAAACGAATTTTAATCTTTAAATCAAATAATTAAATGACCATTTGTGGTGGCAGACAAGACATTGAATGTTCCAGTGCCCATCACATTGGTATCCAAAAATAAATCAGCTGATTTAATTGCTTTTTATGTTGGAATGCGTCATCTGATCTAAAATTCAAAATTTGAAATGGTTTAAAATTTTGAATTTAAATATGGATGGTGGGAAAAAAAATTATTTTAAAAATCTAATTTTAATTTTTTAAATCGAATAATTAAATGACCATTTTTAAATCGAATAGTGCATATTCGTGTATAAATAGGTATTTAGAAGCGTCTCTATTTCGTTCTTTTCTTTGTCATCAAAGGCTTTGAGTCAATATTACCTGATATACGTTTGATTTTATTAAGGATCTTAATCCTTCTAAGGAGGAGTGGAGGATTAAGGCTAGAGTTGTTAGAACATGGAAGGTTCTTAATTTTCAGCAAAAAAATTTTGACGACAACGTAGAGATGATTCTGTTAGATGAAAAGGTATTTGTTTTTGTTTTGTTTTTTATATTACTGTTGGTTTGCGGTCCATGTTTTTAAAATGTACTAATCTATGCATGTGTTTTGTAGGGTGGAAAGGTCCACACTGCTATCAAGGGTTCTTTAAATATCCCTAACAAAATTCACGAAGGAGAAGTTTATTTCATAAAAAAATTTGGAGTTGGTTTGAATAGTGGGAGTTTCAGGCCAACTAAGCATGATTATCGTTTGTCCTTCAACTTGAGGACTGATGTAAGATCCACTATTGATTCTGCTATTCCCACCAATGGATTTGATTTTGTAGATTTTGACGTTATAGAGAAAGAGTCTTCTGATTCCCCTTATTTAGTAGGTTTGTAGATTTTGAACTGTCCACTAAGTCATGCTTTTGTTGTTTGTGTGACAATATCATCTGTCTAACCATCCTTAATGTGTAGATGTCATCGGTTTAGTTTCTGGAATAGGGGAAGTTCGTGAGCATATTATCTCCGGTAGGAAGACAAAAATGGTTGTCGTGGAGCTTGATAACCTCAGGTATCTATTGGTTATTTGTTATGTGTTATGTTCATTTGATGTAAAATTATATTTTGTGATTTGTTGCAAAAACTGTGCAAGTAGGGGTCACAAGCTCGAGTGCACTCTCTGGGAGGACTACGTAGACCAGGTGCAACAAATTTTGGGGAGTAATCAATCTCCTCCAAACGTGATGATAGTTCAGCTTGCTAGAATAAAGGGTTTCAGGGATGAGTTCACATAAATATTTGATTATGATTTCATAATGGAATGTTTTAGTTTATTTCCCTCCTTATGGTTTTGAAATTAATAATAAATTTTAAAGGAAAAATTGGAATAACAAATACAAAGTATACACGAGGATAATTATCGGTCCCACTGTACCAGAGATTGTCGACTTCAAAAAAAGGTGTGAGTTGTTGTTATTCCATTATTCTGCTCTTTTCTTTATTATTTATCGTTGATTATTTGTAATGTTGTTGTTTTTTAGGCTTTCGTCTGATGTCATTGATAGCGGTTACACGTTGTGTCAGTTATCAAGTCAGTCCTCATATTCTTTTGAGAATGATTTCCTGAAAGAGACGGAAAGGAAGTGTATCAGTGATGTTAAGAATTGCAGTGAGATTACTACTTGCATTACTTATGAAACCATAAAATCGATTGAGAGCAAATATAAATGGTGGTACAAGTCCTGTAATAAATGTCCATATTCTGTTTATGAAGATTTCGAGAAATGGTACTGTAAAAACTGCCAAAAACATTTTGATGACTATTATCCAAAGTAAGATTTTATATCTATTTTTGTTGTTGTTATTATTAGATCGTTCATTTTATTTATAAATAACACAATTGGTGGTCATGTGTTGCAGATTTTGTGTGCAGTTGAGAGTTGTGGATCACACTGATTCTGCATCTTTCATTCTGTTTGATAGAGACTGTGTTGCTTTGTTGGGCATGAGTGCTGCGGATTTACGTGAGTAGCATTTTAAAAGGGTTTGTGTTCTTATTCCACTCATTTTTTTATTCATTTAAAGTTCTTATTAAAATTTCATTAATATTTTTTTTGCAGGGTGATGATTTCGAGCACTATCCTAAGGAACTTAATGTTCTTATTGATAAATTCATGTTGTTTAAAGTGAATGTGAAAAAAAATAATTTGGACTCATACAGTGAGCCTAGGTATCAGATTTCTAAAGTATGTATAAGCGAACCTGTAATCAAATCCTTCCTTAAGACTGTTGTGGATACGAATGTGAGTTATTTTTTTTATTAACATTATTATTTCTATTTAAGTTTTGCTGTTCTCATTATGCGTTTCAATGGATTTGATTTTTTTCAAAATATTTGTTTTAAATGCAGGATGAAGGATTATTTGACAAGGCTTGCGACAGTGTCGTTGCATCAGCAGAACCGGAAAGAGCTACGGTATCTCAAAATTATTGCTTATGAATTAATAAAAAAAATGTTGCATGCAGTTTTATTGCAAAACATAAGTTAATTTCAAACAATATTTGTTTTTGACAAGGATGTGGAAAGTCAGACGTGTGATAGTGGAGACGTTGTTGATATTTCGCTATCAATGCTGACGTCGTTAATGAATCCTAATGATCCCCTTCAAGACGATTTTAATTCATCAGTTGTCCGTCCTCCTAAGAAGATTAAGCTAGAGAAAGAGTTGAGTACTTACCCATTATTTTTTTCTTTATGTAGCTTTTATTTATTTATAAACGTGAGTGTGATGTGTCTGTTAATACGTCGTTATTTCTGAAAGACGCGTAGCTGGAACAATGTCACTTGGAAGCTGGAACAACGTCACTTGAAAGTTTTTTGTTTTGGAGATTGTTTGGGATTGAACAATATAATTGTAGTTTTATATTGTTGTGTTTTGGTAATCACTTCCTCCGTGTTTAACTTCAAATAGGAGCGTTCCTGTAGACAAAGTAATGTTTATGCATATTCTGGAATACAAGTTTATCTGTTTGTCATTAGTTATTTTCCACAATATTTTCAATTGTTTTATTGGAATGATAAATATGTGGTTAATCCGGAAATTGGATAATCAGCTTTTTAATAAGTTTCAAAATTCAAAATTTTAATT